CTTGGGGGCCACCAAGATATTGAGCAGGAGTCACAACATTAAATGGATGACATGGAATTATGAATACTCCTCAAGGCTGATAGGAAGTAGTAGAGAGGGACCTGTGGAGCATTTTGTAAAAAGGTGAATAAAATAGTCTAGACAACTCTGAAACTAAGGGTAGAAATCTTTCTGGCCTCTAGGGTTTTGGTAACATACTAATAGCCTCAAAAAGTCTATTGGTGAGTTCCAAAAGAAAGGTGACACAGTCACATAAAGGATCAGCAGAAAGGAATAAATAGTGCTAAAAACAGTGGGTTCAATGAAGGCAGAGAACATTGTTAAGCTGGCGATGACCAGGGTGTAGACTACAGTGAAAGCTGTCAAGATGAAGAGAAAGAAGTAACATCACTTTCCCCTATTGGAAAGATGTAAAAAAAAAAAAAAAAAAAAAAAAGGGGCATCTCTACCATGGAAGAGGTTGCATTAAAAAATAAAAATAAAAACTTCCTTTGTGTTCTGATGAGACCTTTAGTAAAGGATGTCATGTAGACAGGTGGATGACATGTGATGAAGGATTAACAGACCTCTAGGCACACAGTCTTCTCATTAGCAAAGTCTCCATATTTGGCAGGATTTGTACCTTCTTTGGGAAATGATTATGTTCATGAAACACTTTGGCTACTGGCCTATGAGGGAAGCCATACTGAGGTGATAGAGATTGCATTCTATGGATAGGAGGTAGAAAATAAAATGAGGGCGGGAGTGGTGGTTCATGCCTATAATCCCAGCACTTTGGGAGGCTGAGGTGGGCAGGTCACTTGAGGTCAGGAATTCAAGACCAGCCTGGGCAACATGGTGCAACCCCGTCTCTACTAAAAATACAAAACCTAGCCAGGCATGGTGACACATGCCTGTAGTCCCAGCTACTCAGGAGGCTGAGGCAGGAGAATCTCTTGAACCCAGGAGGCGGAGGCTGCAATGAGCCAAGATTGTGCCAGTGCACTCCAGTCTGGGTGACAGAGCAAGACAGTGTCTCAGAAAAAAAAATGAGGATCATTTCTCTTCCAAAGCACCAAATATAAGTGCAGCATTTTTTATATTTGCACTGAGATATACCTGTGGTATAATCATTAGTGTTTATCGCTTTGTGCATTTCACTTGCTCTGAGTGACAGTTCAATTTCATTCTAAGGATCCTTTTCCTGAAACACTGAACCTTAATAACACATTCTCTTGTCCATTTTCAGTCCTAATCTATGAACCAGAAAATTCTGAGGCCAAGGAGTTCTTCACACTTATTGAAGAAATGTTGCTGATGGGTAATTTTAAAAATTGAAATTCCTTGTTTCTTATAGAACTATAAGCAGTCACTCTTTAAAAACCCATTATCCCGGGAGATTGTCAATATATCTTTAGGAAGTGGTTAAGAAAAGGCTACATAGCTGTCTTAAATGGTTTAGTGAAACAGCTTGTCCTCTGTGGATGGTCACAGTGACGCCCTTCTTTCTGTGGGATAGAACTGCCCAAGCAATGCAGGCTCCCTAGGCACCAGGCAACAGGTACTGAGAAGCAGAACAGGCAAACACAGCCATGTGTTAAAGGAGTTACCCACAATTCCAAGGGACGCCAAAGCCTCTAAATTGCCCTGTCTCACTTCCTTTCGATGAATGGTTTTACTGTGGTCAATGAAATTCTGTGATAGAAAGAATTCTATAAAATTATTTAATATAAATTCATTGACAATAGTAAAATTAGTTTTATAGATCTATTTTTAAGTTAATTTTAAATCAAAAATACCTGTATGCCGGTAAAAATAACGTTTCTAGTTTGTACTACCACTTTGACTCTATGTGCAGTTAGCCAAGTCCAACTCAGTTCTTACATTGCAAATGTATGTATTTCTTTGTAGAGGGAGGGGCAGGGAGAATTATTTTTCAGAGCGAAATATTAAGCAACACCTTAATCCTCTTCCTTTTTGTGGCAGAGAAAACTCAGAATCGTGAGAAAGACAGTGAAGATAGTGAGGAAGACAGCAGCGGTGAGAGTAAAGGAGAGAGTGACGGGAGCTCTCACGAGGGTGAAGATGGATCATGAGTGTTGCTGCGATACTTAAAGCTTCCTGTATTTTCGTTAATGTATATCATGCAAATATAAAGACGAGAGTGGCATTTTAGTCTAATTATTCCTTATTTGATACAGAGTTTCTTTTAAGTTACCTATATTCTTAGTTTAAGACTCTTCCTAATATTTAGGCCTTAGCTCAGTATATGAGTTACTTACTCAAAAGGGGAAAATAGTTGAAAACACTTACACAGCACTGTGTGCCAGGTACTATTCAAACTGCTCTACACACATTATATAATCCAATAACCCCATTAAGTACTATTATTATGCCCATTCTACAGATGAGAAAACTGAGGCACAGAGAGGGTGATAATTTACCCAGTGTCATACACCTATTTGTTTGTAGAGCCTGTATTTATGCATGGACATTATTGCCCTATAATTAATGCATTTAGTCCCCTATAAATTACCACCATTTCAGGCACTTTTATATCATTCATCATTTGTTTGTTTGTTTGTTTAGATATGGGGTCTTGCCACATTGACCAGGCTGGTCTCCAACTCCTGGCTGCAAGCAGTCCTTCCATCATGGCCTCCCAAATTTCTGGGATTACAGGCATGAGCCACTGTGCCCAGCCCATTCATTGTATGTTCTTTACAGCATGTATCACTGTCTGAAATGCTTGTTTAATTGTTCATCTTCTCCCTACCTGCCAGAGATTGTAACACCCATAAAGCAGGGCTTTGTTATTTTCCTCATGATATCCCTGGCAACTGGACAGGTGCCTGGCAAATAATAGGGCATATATACCAAACGAATGAACAAATGAAGTGAAAGTTAATGGAAATATGTATATTCTTTCATAAAACATTTACAAACTTATACTTCTTTCGTATCAATCTATGTTATTTTGCTGATTCTGTAGTCCTTGATGAATTTCTGCCACCTTCAAATTAGGTTGTAAGGTAACTGTCTTAGTCTGTTTCACTGTAAGAGAACACCTGAGGCTCGGTAATTTATAAAGAAAAGAGGTTTGTTTAGCTTACAGTTCTGCAGGCTGGGAAGTCGAAGATTGGGCAGTTGAATCTGGTAAGGGCCTCAGGCTGTTTCCACTCATGGCAGAAAGTAGAAGGGGAACAGGCAAGTGCAAAGAGATCACACAGCAAGAGAGGAAGGAAGAGAAGCCTAGGAAGCCAGGCTCTTAACAAGCCTGGAAACTAATCCATGCCTATGAGAGCAAGACCTCATTCACCCCCCACCCCAAATTAACCTACACATGAGGGATTCAACTCACCTGCCTGACCCAAACACCTCCCACCTCCCACATCCCACATATTAGAGATCAAATTTCAGCATGAGTTTTTGTCTGTTCTTTTGTTTTGGTTTTGTGTTGTTGTTGAGACAGGGTCTTGCTCCATCACCCAGGCTGGAGTGTAGTGGTGTGATCATGGCTCACTGCAGCCTTGAACTCCTGGGCTTAAGTGATCCTCCTGCCTCAGACTTCTGAGTAAGTAAGACTACAGGCACATGCTGTAACCACACCTAGCTAATATTTTTTGAAACAATTTTTGTAGAGACAGGGTCTTGCTATGTTGCCCAGGCTGGTCTCAAATTCCTGGCCCCAAGCGATTCTTCCACATTGGCTTCCCAGAATGCTGAGATTATAAGTGTGAGCCACTGCACCCAGCCCAACATAAGTTTTGAAGGGGACAATCTGCATATAGAAAAAGCAGTAACTAAGGTAAAAGAAAAATATTCCTAAGTAAAGTTATTTAGGGATGTGCCAATTTGGTTTGAGGGGAAGCGTTTTGAATTTTTATCTTATGTTACTGCAGTGACACAACATATCCAGAATGCTTGCAACACTATTTATTCTTTAGGCATTTTGTGGCCTGCTAACATTCAGAGGAAGAAAATCTGCAGCACCAATTCATAGGGATGACCAAAAGAAATGAAGACGGTTATGTGTGATCCTCTAGTCACCCTTTCTTAATCTGCGGTAAACTCTCAGGACTTCATGCATAAATAACCAAAAAGCATCAGAGGTCTGGCTGACACCAATCTCAGGAATTACCTGTTCTTTTCATTTCCATTTGGGTTTAATATTCGTTCCATCATAGGAAAACCACCGTATGTCAATCTGATGATGCTTACCTGATTAAGGAGAACTCTCCATAACAAGTTCATAGTATACCCTAAAACTGACATTGAAGACTAAATAAGTTACAATGACATTTTAGTTTTCTTTTAAAGGAACAGGGAAGCGTCGAGGAAGAAACTCTCTGAATAAAAAGCTATGATATCACAAGCCATGTTATAGCTAAATCTAAGAATTTATGAGGTTTGTTCATTCAGGATCATCAGTACCCCCATCCATACTCTTCATTCTATTTGCACTCATTAATCAATGAAATGGTAAGGTGACCTGGCAATAGGCATGTGTGTCTGTATGTACTAATAATAACTAAAAATCTGCAAAGTATTTTTTACATTATTTAACCTACTTGCTTCTCACAGCATCTAAAGAACATGCCATAATCCCCATCAATTACACAAATTGAATTTGATGTGATTGAGGAATCTAAGGTTAAATATTGACTAGAATGTTGGAATTCAGGTGAAGAAACTGAAACTTAGAGATGCTTGGTTATGCCCCCATATAAAAGATTTTGTGAACCTTGACCCACTGTTCTTTGCTGCCTCACACAGAGCTAACCTCTAGGAACTATTTAATAGTCTGCCAATGAGTTACGTCTGTGTAGACAGTTCAGTTCCAGACCTGTGTCTTCTTTTTATTTTTATTTTTATTTTTTTTTTTAGAAGGAGTCTTACTCTGTCACCAGGCTGGAGTGCAGTGGCACAATCTCGGCTCACTGCAACCTCCGCTCCCGAGTTCAAGAGATTCTCCTGCCTCAGCCTCCTGAGTATCTGGGACTACAGGTGTGTGCCACCACGTGCAGCTAATTTATTTATTTATTTATTTATTTTGTATTTTTAATAGAGACAGGGTTTCACCATGTTAGCCAGGATGGTCTCAATCTGACCTTGTGATCTGCCCGCCTTGGCCTCCCAAAGTGCTGGAATTATAGGTGTGAGCCATGACACCCAGCCCGGACCTCTGCCTTCATTGTAATGATGTTAATAAACCCAAATATCCAAAAATCTGAGAATATATAAGAATACCTACTCAATAGACTTGAGAGAGGAACCCACTGAAAAAGTTTCATGTATTTATACAATAAGTATTTACTAAAGGCCTTCTAGGTATTCTGTAGGGAAAAAAACCCAGTCTCTGTTCTTAAACAGCACTGCTGTGAAATACAGGTTATAAACACTGCCATTGTGGGAGCATGTGGGAAGGCAGGAGGGACACCTAACCCAGTCTAGGCATCCAGGAAAAGCATGTGGAGGGAAGTGAAGTCTAAGCTAGACTTAAGTGGGAATTAGCTATAAGAAGAGGTGGGTAGACAACAGTTTGAGGAGGTAACACAACTTGCAAAGGCTCAGAGACACAACCTGAGTCCAGAAAGTTAAACATGTAAGGTTGGATTTTGAAGTGAAAATGAACCAAGTAGAGTGGAGAAAGATAAAGCTACAGTGATAAAAGAACTGGGTGATGGAGGGTCTTAGAAGCTGTGTTAGAGTTTGAACTTCACCTTAGAGTAATGGAGGCATTGAGTGATTTTAAGGAAAATAGTTGTATTTTAGAAAGAGCATTCTGGTAGCCAGGTAGAAAAGATGTCTTCTTAAACTGCACATTACCATCCATTGGTCAGTTTTGAAATCATTGCAGTAAATCACAAATAGCTGGGGTTTTACAAAATTAAACACATAGAAAATTTCAGCATATACTGCAAAAGAGTATGGCAAGTATTGTTTTATGAAACTTTTGTTTCAGGAGTGTGTGTGTTTCCTAGATCTTGATGTGAAATGTATTTCTTCCTATGGATCCAAATAAAAAATAAAACTTGAAAGTATAGAGAACAGACTAGAGTTGAATACAGACTCTAGCGGTTCAAAGTTGTAACCTGAAAAGAGACAGTAGCAGGGAGATGGAATTGAATGGAGGGTTTACTCTAAAGGTAGAAAGAATTGGCAGAAATTGGTGATAAAGTAAATGTGGTAAAGAGGTAGAGGTGAAGGATGACTCATAGTGGGAGGACAACATGTATGGTGGTGCCAGCCCCTAAAGAGAAGAACACAGGAAAGCAGCTTTGCTGAAGAAGAGGGAGGTTCACTTGCACAAGCTGACTATGGAAAATGTATTCATTTCCTACTGCTGCTATAAAAAGTGACCGCAAACTTTGTGGCTTAAAACAACACAAGTTTATTATCTTACAGTTCCAGAAGTTCTAAGTCCAAAATGGGTCTCACTGAGCCAAAAGCAAGGTGTCAGCAAGGCTGCATTCCTTCTAGAGGCTCTAGGAGAGAATCCATTTCCTTGCCTTTTCCAGCTTCCAGAGCCCACCCATATTCCTTGGCTCGTGGCCCCATCTCTCCACCTTCAAAGCCAGAAATGTCTGACCAAGTCCCCTTCAGGCTGCCATCTCTCTGTTCTCTCTCCTGCCTTTTTCTTTCACTTTTAAAGACGTTTGTGATTACACTGGGTCCATCTGGATAATCCAAGATAGTCTCCCTATCTCAAAGTCAGCTGATCAGCAAGGTTAATGCCATCTGCAACCTCAATACCCCATTTCTATGTAACCTAACATATTTGCAGTTTCTGGGTTTTAAGATGTGGACATCTTGGAAGTAGAGCGGTGCATTATTCTGCCTAATTCAGGAAGTACTGGGTAAGTGTTAACTAGTTTTCATGGTATGAAGCTTAAAAAACACACTTGGGCTGGAAATATACCTTTATTCGGAGTCATCAATTAGAGATAGTAGTCAAAAAAACAGAGTGGGGGACCCATGGAAAGAGTGTAGTTGAAATAGAAGAGGACTAGAGATAGAATTATAGTGATCACCAACATTTAAGTGGCAGTCCATGAAAGAGAAGTGCACATAATAGACTGAGAACAACAACTAGAGGAAAGTGGGGAAAGCAAATATGGTGGACACGGACACTGTTGCTCTCCTACTCAGCAACTATCCTTTTCCCTTTCTTTGCAAAGAAAGTCTGATTCTCTTCAGATGTTCACTCCCCACATACACAGCCATGAGACTCAGTCAACCAGTGCCTGGGCATTTCTCTGGTGACTGTTATGTCCCAGAGATGGACATGTAACCTACTTGTCCTGAAAAGACTGAGGACTTTATTTCATGATTGGGAGGAGATGGATGTTCCTCTAGTCTTCTGGTTAAGAACCGGGAAGCATGCTGCCCTAGCTACTGCTGGCATCATCTCATGATCATGAGAGAAGCTAATCTTAGGAAGAAGCTGTTGCTGTGGATGGAAGAACAAAAAGAACCTACGTCCCTAATGCTCAGCCGCTGAATAGACAGCCCTGGGAGCCAGCCCTCTGAGTTTGTTATGAGATAAACTTTCTTATTGTTCAAGCCAGTTGGATCTAGGTTTCTTTAATCTGCTGCCAAAAGCCTCCTAACTGATACTGAGCAGCACCACAGAAACCCAGAAAAAGAGTTTCAAGGAGGCTGCCAAAGCCTGCTTTGCCAAAAGTTGCAGAAAAGACAAGTAGCATAAGAACTAAAAGAGTAATTGGATAGCAACCAAGAGGCGGTTGGTGATATTAGGGAAAGCTGTGTCAATCGACTGTGGTTGGGGGGTGCCATATTTCAGTGAATTTGAGTACACTGAAGGTGAGGAAAGAAAAAAGTATCATTGGAAGACACAAGGTAAGTGGAGTATTATTTGTAAAACATTTAAGATGAGCATGTTTACCAGCCTAGGCAACATGGCAAAAAACATCTTCATAAAATATATAAAAACTTGTCGAGAGTGGTGATACGTGAGTAGCTACCTGGGAGGCTGAGGCAGGAGGATCACCTGAGCCTGGGAGTTTAAGGCCACAGAGAGCCATGATCTGATCGTGCTACTGCACTCCAGCCTGAGTAACAGAGGGAGACTCCATCTCAAAAAAAAAGAGAGGGCCGGGCGCAGTGGCTCAAGCCTGTAATCCCAGCACTTTGGGAGGCCGAGGCGGTGGATCACAAGGTCAAGAGATTGAGACCATCCTGGTCAACATGGTTAAACCCCGTCTCTACTAAAAATACAAAAACTTAGCTGGGCATGGTGGCACGTGCCTGTAATCCCAGCTACTCAGGAGGCTGAGGCAGGAGAATTGCCTGAACCCAGGAGGCGGAGGTTGTGGTGAGCCGAGATCGTGCCATTGCACTCCAGCCTGGGTAACAAGAGGGAAACTCCGTCTCAAAAAAAAAAAGAGAGAGAGAGAGAGATGAGCCTGAGCCTGTTTAATAGAATGGATGATAATAAAGCTACTGACAACCTGTAGTGTGTTAGGCACAATACTAATCATTTATATGTTAATGTTTTTAGTCCTTAAAACATGTGTATGGGATAGACATTATTATTCCCAATTTACATATGAAGAAAGTGATGTGTAGAGAGCTTTTCTCTTTCTAAAAATCACATACTTGGGAATTGGCAGATTCAAGTCCAGGTCATTTTATTCTAATACCCTGCCCTTCATGCTATGGTTTCCTCCCTAAGAGGCCAGTGGAGAGGAACAGATTGGAAAAAGGGATAACTTACAAGGCATTTATCTAATACATTAGAAGAACTAAACACACGGCAGTGTTCAGTTGAACCGCTACCCCAGCAGTCCAAGTGTGGAATCAGAGCTGCATCCCTTCTCCAGTATTGGTCCTTTCATAGCCTTCAATTACCCTAGATTATCTTATGTACTAAACAAGGTGATAACCTGTCTTGATTGATTGATTGATTGACTGATTGAGTCAGGGTCTTGCTCTGTTGCCTAGGCTGGTGTGCAGTGTTGTAAACTCAGCTCACTGCCTCAAACTCCTGGGCTCAAGTGATCTTCCCACCTCAGTCTCCGAAGTAGCTGGGACTACAGGTGCACACCACCACCCCTGGCTAATTTTTAAATATTTTGTTGAGACTGGGTCTTGCTATGGTGCCCAAGTTGGTCTTCAATTCCTGGCCTCAAGGTATCATTCTACTTCAGCCTCCCAAAGTGTCAGGATTATAGGTGTGAGTCACCATGCCCAGCCTGCATTTACTTTAATTACAACGTTTGTTTCCCTTTAGCTTTATCCTGGTGGACATGTAAGATAGATGTAACTTTGGTATTTCCCTGAAATATTGATGTTGGTCAAGGGGAAGCACCTGAACAGAGCTCACGGTACCAGATGTGAAGTAAAGTCTACAGACACTGGAAACGTTGTGGGACTCGGGGCAAAAGTCCTATACCAGGAGGTCTTGAGAGTTCACTAGAGGCAGGTAAGATAAGGCCTCCAAGGCCAGACTAAGGAGTATAAAGGTCTCTCATTGACCCTCCTAATAAGCGCCCCCAGTCCTCATAGGATATGAGTTATAATGGAGCAGGGGGAGTGTGCAGAGCTTGGAGGAGCTTGGGAAGTAAAGCACTGGGAGAAGAGATTGGCTTGCACAGCCTTGTTCAAAATGTACCCTTCTGAACCAAGAGACGGCTTATAACATATATAATGGTTGGTTCCCCCTATATCCATTCCACACAAGATGATAAATCTAAGCTAATCATGGTAATCCCATCCCCTTTGCTACTAGTTATTACTAGCCATGGGCAGAACTACACCAATTTCAGCTGATGAAACCTCAGGAGGAGCTGGATATTAACAAGGGGGAAGGGAGTCCTCACGGCTGTTGGCAGCCATCTTAGAATCAGGAGTAAGTCTTATGCTGAAGCCAAGGCTAAGGACAGCAGAGCAGAGAGAAAAAGGAACCCAGTCCTTGAAGACATTTTCTTTTCTTTTTTTTTGGGATGGAGTTTCGCTCTTGTTACCCAGGCTGGAGTGCAATGGCACAATCTCGGCTCACCGCAACCTCTGCCTCCTGGGTTCAGGCAATTCTCCTGCCTCAGCCTCCCGAGTAGCTGGGATTACAGGCACGCACCACCGCGCCCAGCTAATTTTCTGTATTTTTAGTAGAGACGGGGTTTCACCATGTTGACCAGGATGGTCTTGATCTCTTGACCTCATGATCCACCTGCCTCAGCCTCCCAAAGTGCTGGGATTAGAGGCGTGAGCCACTGCACCCGGCGACATTTTCTTACTAGGTAAGATAATACATTTTCTTGCTATTTAAACCATTTTGCTTCACTTCTTCTATCACTACTAGCTGAGAGTATATCTGGTGTATCTCTCACAGCACAATAAGCACGATAATGCCAATAACGTCTCCTAAGACTGTGTAAGTCAAAGTGGATGCTTAGGTTACCCTCAGCTCACCAAGTGTTCATGGGCACTCAAAGCCAAAGAAGAGGAATTGGCGGGTCCTTCTGTCAGTCCCAAGATAAGCAGAAATATGAAACTGGTTACAATGGTTATCTCTGGGTTATGCAATTGAGGAGGGGAGGTAGGTAAGAAGATTTTACTTTTCATTTTACACCTTTCATTTATTCCCTTAAAATTTTAAAATCATGGGCATGTATCATTTGTATAACTAAAAGTTTTTTATTATAAACCATACATAACATGTAATTTATCATTTTAAGCAATTTTTTGTTTTTGAGACAGAGTCTTGCCCTGTCACCAGGCTGGAGTGCAGTGCAAGATCTTGGCTTACAGCAACCTCCACCTCCTAAGTTCAAGCAATTCTCCTGCCTCACCCTCCCAAGTAGCTGGGATTACAGGCGTGCGCCACCATGCCCAGCTAATTTTTGTATTTTTAGTAGAGATGGGGTTTCACCATGTTGGCCAGGCTGGTCTCAAACTCCTGATCTCGTGACCCACCTGCCTTGGCCTCCCAAAGTTCTGGGATTACAGGTGTGAGCCACCGCACCCGGCCTCATTTTAAGCATTTTCAAGTGTATAGTCCTGTGGTATTATGTACACTTACATTGCTGTGCAACCATTACCAGCACCCATCTCAAGAACTGCTTCATCTGCTCAACTGAAACTCTGTCCTCATTAAATGATAACTCATCATTCCCACTCCCACTAGCCACCATTCTACTTTTTGCTTCATGAATTTGACTAGGTCCTGTGTATAAGTGGAATCATATATGTCATTTTGTGACTGGTTTATTTCACTTAGCTTAATGTCTTCAAGGTTCACGCCTGTCATAGCATATATCAATACTTTATTCCTTTTACTGCTAAATAATAGTCCACTGTATGCATATGCCACATTTTGTTCATCCATTCATCCAGTGATGGACACCTTGGCGGCTTTCACCTTTTGGTTATGGTGAATAATATGCTTCTGTGAACACCAGTGTACAAGTATCTGTTGGAGGCTAAAACCTTTTACATTTCGCCTATACGTCGGGTAGGGGGAAATAATGGGTGAGGAGGGTTAATGAAAATGCTAACCATGGTTGTGCGTGAGTGATGAGGTTATTTCCCTTTCATTGTTCTAAAGTCATAAGCTTTCTTTAGCAATCATATATTACTTTAAAGGAAAGAAAGTGTGCATTTTTTGAAAGAAAAAGACTTTAAAAGAGAGTTAAGGTAAAATTGACCGTAGGATCAGAAACATTAACATAAGGAAGGGTATCAGCATTCATGGAGTACCAAATGCCCAAGTGAGGCATTTTAGTATGCCTTAGTACTCTTTCTGGTGTGCTGGAAGCTTCTAACGGGGATAAATACTAATAAATAAGCTAACAGGTCATTAAGTGCAGGGGAAAAAAAAGTCACCTGAGAAGGAAATTTGCTAATTTTCATAAAATATTAACCAGTTAATGCATTTACAAATTGCTTATCCTGATGCCTAATTGGATATTGAAGCAGGGTTAATTGCAATCCATCTCCAATAGTCTCCAAAGCCCCTGTTTTATTAGGATTTATTACGTAGTTCCTTTTGCTGCACAACAACATATATTTTAGTAGTTAACTTTCATAAACCCCTATTTAATGCTTCAACTACTTTGTAACTAGGCTTTTGGTGTCCCATGCTCTCAGGTCCCTAATGTCCCTTCTTCCCTAATAAAGATTATTCTAAATGTCTTTTCATAAAAAGACTTGCTTGAAAATGACTATTCTTTAAGATGATGGATTTCACAGTTCCCAGCCTACCACTGGACAATATGTTAAGAGAAAAATCTCTTTTCCATCAAAACAGGCACCAAATTCAGTTTCTTCCAATTGGCATCTGAAGAATCCAACTAAAGGTGAGGGCAGAGTTTTTTTTGTTTTTGTTTTTTTGGTTTTTTGAGACCAAGTCTTGCTGTGTTGCCCAGGCTGGAGTACAGTGGCGCAATCTCAACTCACTGCAACCTCTGCCTCCCAGGTTCAAGCGATTCTCCTGCCTCAGCCTCCCGTGTAGCTGGGATTACAGGTACCTGCCACCGTACCCAGCTAATTTTTGTATTTTTAGTAGAGATGAGGTTTTACCAGTTGGCCAGACTGCTCTCAAACTCCTTACCTCAGATCATCTGCTCACCTTGGCCTCCCAAAATGCTGGGATTACAGGTATGAGCCATGGCACCTGGCCAGAGAACAGAGTATTTAAATCAGCAGATAACATCCTCATTCTAAAGCCACCTTCTCTTAGCTCACAACCTGCCAATGAAAGAAAATAAGAGAAAAAATATTAAAAATCATATGTCACTAAACAAAATTAAGGGAATGTGTCAAGAAACTTATCTCAAATGAAAACCTGCTAAATTGAGCTTTCTTTAAAAACCTGTTAAAGCAGACTGGGCACATTAGCTTACACCTGTAATCCCAGCACCTTGGGAAGCCGAGGTGGGATGATCAATTGAGCCCAGGAGTTCAAGACCAGCCTGAGCAACATAGTTATACCCTGTCTCCACAAAAAATAACCAAAAACCAAAAAATTAGCCAGATATAATGATGTGAGCCTATAGTCCCAGCTACTCAGGGGTGGGGCTCAGGAGGGAGGATCACATGAGCCAGGGAGGTCAAGGTTGCATTAAGGCATGATTGCACCACTGCACTCTAGCCTGGGTGACAGAGTGAGATCCTTGGCCTCCCAAAGTGCTGGGATCCACAATGCCCAGCCTGCAATTTTAAATATAAGGATAAAGGAAGATCTACCTGGGAGAAGAACACGTGAATATTTAAGTAAAGACCAGAATGAGAAGGAACGAACCCTACAAATGCCTAAGGAAAGAACTTTCCCAGCACAGGGTTAATAATTACAAAGTCCCTGGCCTATTCTAGTGTATCTTTATGAAACAGCAAGGAGGCCATTGTCCCTAGGGTGGAGTGAGAATGGGGCAGAGCAGTACCGGAAGTACAAGAAGAACTCAAACAGCAACAAGGTCAGATCGTGTAGGGCCTTGCAAGTATTATAAACACTTTGTCTTTTCCTCTGAGATGCAGAATCATTAGAGGGTTTTGAGTAGAGGAAAGCCATGATATGAGCATGACTTAGTATTTTACATTGTGTGTTTTGGGGAAGGAAATGAAGGATAGTAAGAACAGAAACAGTGAAGTTGTTAAAGTTTGAAAGTAGCTCCAGCAGAATTTACTGACAGATTGAAAGGAAGAAGTCAGTGATACCTCCAAGGTTTTGGACCAGAGCCACTCGAAGGGTGGAGTTGCCTCTAGTTATTTACTGAGATGGAGAAAACTGAAATAGAAACAGGTTTGGGGAAAAGCATCAGGAGTTCAATTTGGGACACCTTAAGTTGTAGATGCCTATTAGAAATCCAAGTGGATGGCCAGGCACAGTGGCTCACACCTGTAATCCCAGTACTTTGGGTGGCCCAGGCGGTGGATCACCTAAGGGCAGGAGTTCAAGACCAGCATGACCAACATGTCTCTACTAAAAATACAAAAATTAACCAGGCATGGTGGTGCATACCTGTAATCCTAGCTACTAGGGAGGCCGAGGCAAGATAATTGCTTGAACCTGGGGGCAGAGGTTGCAGTGAGCTGAGATCGTGCTATTGCATTTTAGCCTGGACAACAGATTGAGATTCCAAAAAAGAAAGGAAAGAAAGAAAGAAAAGGAGGAAGGAAGGAAGGAAAAAGAAAAGAAAAGAAATTCAAGTGGAAAATTCAACTGGACATATGAACCTGGAATGTTGGACAGACATTCAGGGTAAAGATATAAATTTGGGGGTCAACAACATCTAAATTATTTTATTTTAATTTAAATAAAAATTAAGATATCTGAAACTGCCAGATTGGATGAGAGTACAGAGGGAGAAAATGGAGGTTGGAAAAGAGAAAAGATCAAAAGATTGAATCTCGGCAGAAATCCATAATTATGTGTAAATTTCACCTCATACAAAACTGGCTCCCTCTCTCCCCTTCCTACGAGTCTGAATACTCCATAAGAAAACTTTTTCCTCTGCAAATCAAAATATTTCTGTGGACTAAAAAAAACCTCTAAGGCACTAAAGAGGAGGGCTTTGAGTCCTATATCAGGAATGATCAGCAGCACTACTGAAAGAAATTGGCAAAATAATACAAATAATATAGTTAGATTATACATCCAAGGAGAACAAATTTAAATTGATCAAAATCACTGTTGAACTAAGGGGAAGGAGCAGAAGCAGCAATTCACATGTAATGAATACCATTAACTAGGCACGGTTGAGCTTGCTAAAATGGGTTCTTTTTTTTTTTTTTTTTTTTTTGGAGACTGAGTCTTGCTCTATTGCCCAGGCTGGAGCACTGTGGTGCAATCTTGGCCCACTGCAATCTCCACCTCCCGGGTTCAAGTGATTCTCCTGCCTCAGCCTCCTGAGTAGCTGGGATTGTAGGCATGTGCCACAGCTAATTTTTGTATTTTTAGTAGAGACAGGGGTTTCACCATGTTAGCCAGGCTGGTCTCAAACACCTGACCTCAGGTGATTTGCCAGCCTCAGCCTCGCAAAGCGCAGGCATGAGCCACTGTGCCCAGCCTAAAATGGGTTCTATGAGCATCAAATAAGATAGCCTACAAGGCTAGTATTAAACCCCATTTTACTTAGAAGTAAGCTTGGAGCCGTTGAACAATAGCCAGTAAGTAGAATCTAGATTTAAACTCAAGTCGGACTGACTTCAACATTCTGCTTTTCTTCCAGTAAAAGCTGCCTTGAGGGCCTCAAGAGGTTCTTGGGTCCATGGCAAGATATTACAACATGAGAAGAGTCACTAGTGAGAAGAATCACAAAATACCTGCAATAATAAATTATTTCAGATGAATGAAATAATCCGGTCTTATCTTATACCCTAACCCTCCCATTATGGGGTCTGGAGAGATTCTATGATTTTTCTGAGATCCAATGATTATTATATGACAGAGCCAGAAGGCTACACTGAACAAAGCATCAGGCGCTGGGACTGAGGGAAGAAGAAAGCATTTCCAGGCCCCTGAGCACTAATCATGTGGTCTGGGAAGTCCTGTAGCCTCTCTGGACTTAAATTTCCTCATCAAGAAAACGGAAGACCTCAGATGATAATTAACTGAGAATTCATGCAATAAACACACTACACAACTTCCCTGAGACTTATTTCCTACCTGTATAATGTGAGGATAATGATTAATCATGTTGCTAAAGAGAGAGAAACATGTTGCAAGCGAGACCGAGATACAGAGAGAGAAGTTTCTAATATCCCCCACAGACCTCAGCACCACTACTGTTGGCCAGGCTGGGCCCACAGTAAGCAATTCTGGGCAGCCAGATTTCCCCTGAGTTCCACTTTGCTCCCCACTTGGCCTTTTTTTTTTTTTTTTTTGAGACAGAGTCTTACTCTGTTGCTCAGGCTGGAGTGCAGTGGCATGATTTCGGCTCCCTGCAACCTCTGCCTCCCAACTTCAAGTGATTATCGTGCCTCAGCCTCCCAAGTAGCTGGGATTACAGGTCATGCACCACTATAGCCAGCTAATTTTTGTATGTTTAGTAGAGATGGTGTTTTGCCATGTTGCCCAGGCTAGTCTGGAACTCCTGGCTTCAAGCAATCTACCTGCCTCCGACTCCCAAAGTGCTGGGATTACAGACATGAACCACCACACCCAGTCAGCCCTTGTCCTTCTTGGTGTAAGAGAGTGTTTTCATAAGCTACTGTCACAATATCTAAATATGGTGCTGAAATGTGATCCGCAATGTCGAAGGTGGGGCCTAATGGGAACGGCAGTGATACACCCCTTCTGCTAAGTTTCCAGTACTCCCCTGAGTAACTGGCCAGGATTAGGGGAAGAAACCTGACCTGGAATCAAAGTTTAAGTTATTAGATTCTTCACAACTAAGTCAGAAATTTCCAGAACCTTTTCACAAACAACTGTCCCAGATACATAGGTTTGAAAATAGGGATTAAATATCTGTTATTTTAAATAGTTCAAGAGCTTTAACACTAAAAGGAATCAATAAAATATTACTGTACTCAGTCTCCCATGAATTCTGTATTTCACTAAAGCATCTCAGGTGGGAAATCCTTCTTTTTGCATCCCACCCTTTTGGGGAAGGACTGATTTTGCCTTGGTTTTTGTTAAGATCAGAAAACACAGATACACCTTTGAAGCTCCCCGTCAGAATTGCAATCCAGATCTGTATTTCCTTGGTTTTCAGTTTTGCAATGAAACCATTTCTTACCTAATATTCAAAGGTTCTCTATCTTTGGGATACAGCTAGGTGGGAAAAAAACAGATTCCATGCACCCCCTGGTCTTTCACCAAAGGGACACACCATCCTGGGTGTTTCAGATCACTCGGCATTTCTGAGCATTTGAAAAAGCTCTGCTTTGTGAAATATGGCAGGGATGAGTATGAGCCTGCATTCTTCCTTGAAGAATGCTCCCTTGGTGGGCACGGGAGGTGGGGGGAACTGTTGTTTCTTCTCAGAAATTGTAATCTATTGCCACCTGGTGGTTATTCTGTGTTCGTGTTTAGAAGAGCAAGAATTGAGCGTGTTAAGATTTTGCAGATTTGCCCAAACACAAATCATCCCGTCCTCCTTGATTAATTTCTTTGTATTAGAATATTTTCATCTTCTGACTATCAAGGGGGAAGGACCACTTGCCAATTATCAGAGGAATTCAGCTATCTTCTTTAGAAGAAGTGATTGTAATTCCCAGAGTCCTCTCCAGCCTTCCAGCATTCTGCTGTCTCCCCTCCCACCCCCTCGCACCCTTTTAACCCGTTCCTGCCACCGAGCTGTAAGTGTTGTGTGGTCTGTTGGGATGAGGGTGTGGATTTAGCCATGGTCCTCCAAGAAAGTCCAGAATAATTCAGGGAAATATTTTTAAAGTACAAAACAGCAAATGGACTTTAGCTCCGACTTAAGCCGAATGAAAGGTTAAGTAACACTTCCCCCAGTTCTCGTCTTGGGAGACAGACGTTTAAACGGAGCACTGCCATTTTTTTTTTTTTTTTCCTTTTGGGTCATAAATTGGACACTTAAAATAGATTTTAAAGAGCCAGCTGAAACGAACCAATACCGTGGGTCTAAGTTACCTTTCCTGGAGACTGAAAATTCTAAGGGCGTCAAAAAAAAAAAAAAAAAAAAAAAATGACGTGTCCTGTCTACTACTCACCTTTACTGACCACGTTTTAGGCATAAAGATCTCCTCGCAGCCCGTTTGGACGCTCCTCCTACCCACTCGCTTTTTCACTTTGAAAGGCTCGGCCCCAAATCTGGTTGGAATATCCTTAAACAATCCCCCACCCACCCACGCCACGGAAAGGAATAAAGGGCATTGTGGGTGGAGGGTCCTGTTCTCAAGTCCCAGTTGACCTAAGGAAAGGTTGTCCTCGGCAGACAGGGTGGAGTAGCCGGGGCTGCAGGCTCGCAAATCCCTAATGCTGGAGAGAGACTGGAGGGGTCGCACATCGCCCCCTCCTTCTTCTGCCTTTGAGCGCCGCGTTTCCATTTCTTCAAAGAGCTTCAAATGCAATCGAAACAGCTGGACGGACACCACTCCCTTCCGGGCCGCGCCTCATCACCGGTTCGAGTCCCTGGAGAGGATATCTTTTTTCCACCCCCATTATCCCAAGAATCCTCCCCCAGGAGTAATAAAAGATTAAAGGAAGAGTGAAAGATATAAACAAAAACGTAGGTTTCAAATGTTGTGAAGAGCTGAATGACAACCACGGCCACTCTTAGTCCAAATTTCTACCGTAAAGGAGAGCAGTGGGCGAAATACCCCACCCTCCAACTAGCCAAAACAAACACAGCAGTTACTGCCAGGAGGGAGGTGGGCTGGGGCGAGCCTGACGGGTTGGCCCAGAGCTATTGGCAGAAGCGGACGAAACCGAGGCTTGGGGATTAGAAGGACGGGAGCTGTCCTTCGTGCTGAAAGATCTATGCCCTACCTCAAAACTGGGTATCAGGATGGGGTGGAATTCCAGGCCTTCAATTCCTTACTATTCCTGCTGTGCCCAAGAGTCCGAGCTGGAGGGGAAGATCATTGAAAATTAAATTAAATTCATGAAATAGATCTAAGTCCGCTCCTCTCCCTGCCTTAATGGAATGTCCACTCCGGCGTGCAGGATAATATAAACCGCAGGGGCAACGCAAATTGCAAAAAAAAAAAGTGCTTGGCACATAGTAGGGGATTAATAAATATTCTTTTAATCAATTATTGCTAATATTCAATTAAACATTCTAAACAAGGAAGGGCAAGAGGCTTCATTCCTCCCCTCCTTACCATAAAGAAGAAAGAGAAGGATGTCCTCGAAACTGGACGGACTCAGCTTCAATTTGAGATACCTAGCCTTGCAGGAGACTCCTTCTCCAACGAGATTATCTTATTGGCTAAAACGTTGGGGGTGTTTTGGACTCTGGGGTCAAAGGAGGAAGTGGTTGGAAATGTCTCAATCTCGTGCCACAGGTGAAGTAAACGAATCTTCCTTTCCTGCGAATCTCGGGTGTGGGGAAAAGGTTGAGGAGACAGGGCGAGCGGGTGTCTATGATGGACGGTGAAGATCGAGGGGCACCGGGAGACGTGTGGCCTCCTCCGTCCTGTCTCCTGCCCCGAGAGTCTCGAATGATTTAGCACTGGCACCTGGCTCCCTGATTGGTGAGACAGTCTCATTTAGGGAAGGCTCTAGGAGGGCCCATGGATGGAATTCCGAGCTTCACCTCATTGTATGCCGCCCACTTCAAGCGGGGCAGAGCAGCTGCGGGTTGAGCGGTTTGGTGGGGGGCGTTTCCTACGTGGAGCAGACACCCCCAGCCTGTCCAGCCCCAAGCTTCAGTGCTCAGGGCTGCAGCCACCGCGCGCCCCGCCGTTTAGATGTTTTTTGTGTCCTTAAAAAGAAGTGCCCGGGATTTTGTTATCAGGTGGGGAGAAGGAGACAGAACAGTAGTTTCTTTAGTACCGAAGGCAAAGCGGTGATTTCAAACCCCACAGCGAGATCCCTCTTGCTGATCTGACCATATCTGTCCAGGACAGACCCTTCGATCTCCCTCGTGGAATTCTCGGTGATTTACAAGATTTTTTTGTGTTTCCATTGTGTTGTGGCGAAAGGTGATAAGGCATTAAAAGAAAAGGGACGGGTCTCGGCTGAACCAGCGAGGCCTCAGACGTGCGCATAAATAACCTCTGCCTTCTGCACCACCCGGGGAGGTGGGGAGAACCGCGGTGAATACCAGTAAAGGAATCACTGCGTACACGGTCTCACCCAGACACGCACAGACGTCCACTTTTTTTGCCCTAAAGAAAAAGAAACTGGGGAAAGAAGAAAGGGGAGAACTTAAACTAGTGACAGGGCTGTGAGGGAAGGCATGAAGAGGCCGCCTGGCCAGCGGCTCCAGGTGTGGCCTCGGACGCTGGAGGAGACACCGGAGCGCAGGCCCGCTAGGTCTCTGGGCTCTTGGCGCCCTCTGGTGGGAATTTCTCCATCAACGCATTTTTACGGTGAGGGGCTTTTCCCAACGCAGCGGTTCTTTAACTGTGCCTAAATATTGCGAAGGGAGAATCCTTAATGCGTGTGAAATCGAAGAGGGAGTGGGCCAGGGCAAGGAGGGGGGCTGCTCTGCCCCTCCTGAACCACCTCTGTGCTCGGGTTCCCCATGCGCGTGCAGCGGCGCTCGTGCGTGTCATCAACCTTCAGACGTGATTAATCAGGAGGCCTTCTTTTCCCGTCACCAAGGGGGCCAAAGCAAGGAGCGGGAGCATAGCGAAAGGGATGCGGGGTCCTTTTCTCTGCCGATGGCACTGGGTAGCTGTGGCCAGGTGTGGTACTTTGAGGAGGCCCGGGGCTGGATGAGGAAACTGGAATTCCTCCATGGTGTAAGAGGTCTCCCCGCATTTCTGCCTCTTTTGCCTTTACAACAATCCCGTCTCTGTACAGAGCCAACGAGGACTCAACCCAGAGCGCGCTTTCGCTCAAAGAAGCGTCAAAAGGTCACAGATCTGGGGGAACCCCGGGGAAAAGGACTGAGGCAAAGCCATCGCTCGTCTCCTACAAGATAGGGGAGGGGGAGAGGAAATGGGGGAGGGGAAAGAAGGGGAGGGAGGAAGAAAAGCTCAGAAAGGCAGAATTCTTCGTAGGAATTATCTTTTCCCTCCTCTCATCCGACACCCTGCCTATTAAAAAAGAAAAAATAGAGCGTGTTGAGTACGTTCTGGATTACTCATAGGACCTTTTTTCCCCTTCCGGGCGCAAAACCGTGAGCTGGATTTATAATCGCCCTATAAGGCTCCAGAGGCGGTCAGGCACCTGCAGAGGAGCCCCGTCGCTCCGCCGACGAGCTGCCCCCGCGAGCAACGGCCTCGTGATTTCCCCGCGGATCCGGTCCCCGCCTCCCCACTCTGCCCCCGCCTACCCCGAAGCCGTGCAGCCGCCTCTTCGGATCTCTCTTATCCTGGCGCTCGCGTGCGGGACGGAACTAGAGAGAAAGGAAGCAGCTGGAGGTGACGCCGGGCAGATTACGCCTGTCAGGGCCGAGCCAAGCAGATCGCTGGGCGTTGTGCAGAGGAAAGGAGGGAGTGCCCGGCTCGCTGTCACCGAGCCGAGGTGGGTAAGCGCGCGACCACCTGGATTTCCAGCGTCCAACCTTAGCTGTTCAGCCAGGTCCTCTCTGCCCGCGGCTTATCAGCCAACCCCCATCCCCGGCGCCAGTCACCCACCCTCCCGAGATGAATGCTTCCCGCCTGCCCTAGTCCCTGCTCTGTGGGTGCGCTGCTCAGGGATCCCCCCCCCCCCATCCTCGTCACTCTTCTTATCCCTGCCCGCCGGATTCACGCCCCGGGGACATACAAAGGCTGAGGCGCGAGTTGAAGTGGGGCAAAAGCAATGTTCCCTTGAGCTTCCATGCTGCGAGCGCCTGTCCCTCCAAAGGGCGCCTCGGCAGCAGCAGCCGAAGGCGCGACTAGGAGCAGTAACCTGTTACTTCCCCAGCTGAGGTGGTCGACCCGCTGCCCAAGTTGCTGTGCGAGTGTGCGCGCGGGACTAGGTGTGTGGTCCGAGGGAGGGTGTGGAGGCGATGGCCGGTGGACGCTTCTATTCGGGGTCCTCGATCTACCCAGATTCGCCTACAATCTCTCTGTCCCGGGGCCTTCGGGCGCCATCGCGCCAGCGCAGAGTCGAGCAGGGGCGCCGCGCAAGATCTTTGTCCGCCGCTTCCTGCGCGCTGCGCTCAAGTTCGTTTCCCCGGTGACGTTCCCCATTCTTACCTACCCTGCCCTCTCCGGATCTGTACCGCGAGAAATCTGGGGTCAGGGGGGCTGGGGTAGAGAAACGCTGAAACCGGACCAAAACCTCTCCCTAGGCTAAGCGATGGCTCAAAATCGGCTGAGTCTAGAGGGAGACAAGCTAGGTTCCGACTCGCTGCTTTCTGGCTGTCTGGAGTGCAAGGTGACTGTGGTTCTTCCCTGGCCAAGTCCGAGTAAGAACGTAAAAATATGGGCCTTCCCCCACCCCCACCCCCACCACCTCGTCTCACCGAAGTCCCTGGTCCTCAGAGCAGTTAGCCTCTTTCTTCCTAGGGAATTAGCCAGACACAACACCGGGAACCAGACACCGAACCAGACATGCCCGCCCGGTGCGCCCTCCCCCTACTGGCCCGCACGCCGGTTGCTGAGTGCCCAATGGGGCTTGTCGCGGCTTGCCTGGAAAATCGCTCATTGAGCGCTCCCCTGTGCTCCTAGCCCAGTCCCCCACACCCCCGCATCTTTTACGGGCCTTGGACCCCCACCCCCACCCCGCCTCGCCTCAGCGCTTCACTACAGGTCGCGCTGCTACGCGGCCAGACTCGAGAGCGGCCCAGGGCTACGCTGCCAGCGCCCCAGTCCCGGAGCTAGCGCGCACGTCTCCTCCGCTGCCCCCACCCCTACGCACCCGGACCAGGCAGGCTCGCTGCCCTTCCTCCCTCCTGTCTCCCCAGCTCCAGATCTTCAAGGGGAGCGTCCGCGCCTCTGGCCGCTCAGTCCCTCGAGTGTGCAGGACCCCGGAAGTCCTCCCCACACAGCTCTCGCTTCTCTTTGCAGCCTGTTTCTGCGCCGGACCAGTCGAGGACCCCGGACAGTAGAGGCCCCGGGACGACCGACCGGATGGCGTCTTCGACCCCATCTTCGTCCGCAACCTCCTCGAACGCGGGAGCGGACCCCAATACCACTAACCTGCGCCCCACAAGTAGGTCCCGCTCCAATTTTCTATCAAATGAACTGCGGGGAAGATGGGGGCGCTGGGACGTCGGGAGGCTGAGCTGGCGGAAAGGGAAGGGGGAGCGCGGAGATGATGGAGGCTAGGAAATAAATGGGGCTCTGACTGGGTCCCTGCCAGAGGTCATTCAGCTGTCAGGGACGCTAGGTGACTCCCAGGGCACCGGAGAGCGAGGACCTCGCAAGGTCTGAGGGGCGGCGATCGTTGAGGGCTTCGCGGCAGAGGAGGGGCGCGCCGCCAGAGTGTTGTTTTTATTCCGTTGTGTGTGGTTTCTTTGCTCCGTGGGACAACAGGGGTCAAAGCAGGGGGCGGAATGAAAAGCCGGGAGTCCCAGGAGGAATAAGAGTTTTCAGTCCCCTGCTTTCGTTGAGCCAAGATCTGACCTCCTCCTTTCCTCCTGCGCTGTGCTCAAAGTCTATAATCAGCGGAAATTTCGACGTTAATTGCAGCTTTTAGAAAACTCAAGGTCCCTAATTGCTCCAAATTTGCATCAAGCTATTGACTAGTTAGGGAAAAGCCAGGGGCGGGAAAAGTGCATAAAACTGAGACTGAGCCTTGACATTTCATACAATTAATGACATCTCAGAAATAAAAATAAATAAATAAATAGGGGAGCGGGCAGCATCCTGAGTGGCAAGAGATGGGGCACTGGGAGGGGGCAAGAAGATTTATCATAGAGAGGAGAGAGCACCCCTCTCCTTACCCCGGGTAAGAGATCTGTCAGGAGGTGACACGTCCCGAAAAGAGAGAAAGAAAAGAGACACCAGACAAAAGAGGGGGGCAAATTTATGTTTCCCTGTCTTAAGCACGGCAGGCTCCTCAGAGCATTTCCAGAATCTATCTTTAATTTTATTTCCTACCTCTGTAAAGGCTTCAGATGAGAAAATTGTTTTTCTTTTTCTTGTTGGAGTGAAGAAGTGTCTCCCGACCCTACTCCCCTAAAAAAACTATCAGCTTTAGACTGCAAGGGTTCCCGCTCGCCCCTTTGTTTATTTTTCTGAGATGTAATTAATTGTATGAATTTCCAGAATTTCTACACAGAACGGGTTTAAGAAGGACAGTGTGGTTACGAGGAGTGCCTATTGAGGCGTTTTTGTGGCACTTTATATTTGGGAAAATAAGTGTCCTCGTCCACGAGGCAAGAGTTATTACCGGAAAGCCCCTTTAGGCGCTGGCACTGGCTCCCAGGCAGAAGGTCCTGCGTTAAGTCCTCGGGTCTCATTCCAATTTCCTTTGCAGCTCCCTCTTTCCGCCACCCAGGAGGGATACAATTACCCACACAACAAAGAGGGCCTCGGGAGAGCCGCCAGCCCTGGTAGCAAATGAACCAGGCACCGGTGTTGGAGCTGGCCAGAGCGGGGCGGGAGGAACGCGAGGCCTGCGCGCCTTTGTGTGTTGCTCTCGCCTTGATGGATTTCTTTTCTGACGTTTTCCACATTTCCCGCCCCTTTTTTTTGCCGCCTGGGGGTGGGAGTAGGGAGTTAGCAGGCAGGTGCGTTAATTTACCCTCCACTCCCGGAGCCCATACTTCCTGGTGGCCGCCAGTCGCCGGCGCAAGTGCCCAGTCACTGGTAGAAGACCCAACAGAGGCGATGACCTGAATCCGCACGTGGCCTGGTTCGCCTGGAAGCTACCGAAGAGAAGGCTAGAGAGGCGGGAACCCTACTGTGGAAAAGCAAGCTGCGCGTGTCCTAGGGACACCGTTGTGAGCCCTTAGCCGAGCTACGGCATCCGCACCCCAGGCTACGCAGACACGCTGGGCGCTCTAACCACTCTCACCCTCCCTTGCAGACAATACCCTCGCCCGCCCAGCTAGCTCCACTTCTCGGCCCCTTTAGGGTCTTCTGGGAGGTGTCCTTAGTGCAGGCAACCTTAGACGCTCTCTTGCTCCCGTAAGCCCTAAGTGGGGCTTGGAGCCCTCCTTGTCCTCCACCACAAGGTCTTCCCGACCCCTTGCTTCATCAAAGGGGCTCTCTGGCTTGCTCTTCCTGTCTCTCCCTTTCTTTCACTGCAACCCCCAATTTTGATAGGCGGTGCAATGTGTCTGAACTCCAACTTCTCTGCTGAGTAACCTTGGAAAACTCATGTAACCACTCTGAGCCTCAATGATTTTTCTTTGTCAAATGACTCTTAGATCAACACTCCTGCCAGTCTCATAGGACTGTTACAAGAATTAGAAGAGATGATGTTTAAAGCGAAAACACTTTATCGGGTCCAAAAAGCTTTTTATCCGCCGGGTATTATTTGGGTTTCGCTTTTGCACTAATTTCCTGTCTGTCACTGATTTCATCTGTGACATGTAGTCTCACAGACGTCAGGCTGTTTCTTCTCCCGGCTGGGGCTCTGTTGTGCCTCGGGTTTAATGGATGTCACTCTCCTTACCGCCTTCAACACTTGTGCGAAGCTGTAGGCACCAGTCGGGGTAGGATAAGGGATGGGAGTGTTTAGAGAGCGTTGCTTTGAGAGATTGGAAGGGGATTTCACTCTGGGCTCACCACGCCAGCCTGCTTGGGGGCTTAGCGGGCATAGGGCTGCTTTCAGCGCTTCTTACTGGAAGTTGAACCCCGAAGGCTGCAAGTAGACCTCGGGGGGTTTGGGAACAGTCGGAAAAGAAGGAAAATCCAGCAGTACCACCGCCCTCGGTTCTGACACAGAGGAAGGGTGCTTAATTCCATTCACCTTTGCCTACTCCAGACCCAAGATGTCAGAAGAAAGGTTAATGAGGGACAGGTTAGGAAGAGGGGGCTGGGGATGAGGACCCGAGGCGCACTGTTGTCTTCCGCACTCCCCAGTCTGACTGAAGAGCAGCCATGCGAGCCCGATCATCTAGTCAAATACTATTTTTCACCCAATTAATTCTTGAACTCTTCCGCGACCCCATTTCATGCCAGTTTATTTTAAGCTGCCACTAGGCTGGAGACCCGCCAAGAAATTATGAGACGTTTTGGTCCCAGATGCCTGTGTTCCCTTTCTGGGCTGATGTGGTCGCCCTTCGAGTCTGTGGGGCTTGGCAGGTGGGTGTTGGGCAGCTTGATCGGAGCCTGGCCCTTTGCGCGTGGGTCAGCCTTCACCCAACTCCGACCCCAGCTCTGGGGCTGCCAGGCAGGGGGCACTTGGGGACCCAGTGGGGCGCTGGGTGCCCCGCCTTTCAGAGACACCGTTCTATAAGTGAAGCCAGGACGGGGCGGGGAGGGGGGCGGCTCCGAGGGTACAAGTCTGCCTGTCGGCTCACAGATTTGGTTCCTAGCTTCTTTCAGGAAAGAGCTTTTAATGAAGAGCTCTGGCAAAGACCTCATCCTCCCCCAAGAAAACCATTGCCCTCCACCCAGCTCCCCACCGTGGAAGCCTCCCTGACAGCACCTCTCTCCCTCTCTCTCGTCCTAGCGTACGATACCTGGTGCGGCGTGGCCCATGGATGCACCAGAAAACTGGGGCTCAAGATCTGCGGTAAGTGACTGGGCGCGCTGGGGTCCGGGGGAGGCGGCGCGGGGTGCGGACCTTTTGGGCTTGGGAGATTGCGACGCAAGCGGAGGGGTATCCCGGCTTTCGGATCTGATTTTCAAATGTAATTACGGCCAGGACAACCGGCGAAGACGCTCCCCTACCGACCCCGACCCTCCTTTTCCCTCCCCAGACGCGATCCCCAGGGGTCTTTCCTCTGGAGTCCCCAACCCCCAAGACCCCGCGGAGCAAATGCTGGGTGTCCTGCCTGGGCGCAGAAACTGGAGGAAAGCGCCCCCGCGCGGCCACCCCGCTCTCCTAGCCCCGCGCGCAGGCAGCTACCACCCGGTGCCGTGCACTCTGTCCACGCGTCCCCTTAGGTCGAGTAGAAAGATGAACTGGTCTAGCTTCCTGGAGAGCAGACCAAAGGCGCGGTATCTGCCAAAAGCTGTAGCTGACACGTCTCCCCCATCCCCTCAACATCGCCTACCCCTCCCTCATCCCCACCTCCACCCGCGGTGGGGTCGCATTGAAAGTGACCTCTCCAGCTAGAGGGGTTTTGCCCTGAGATTTCATAAGGGATTCGGGTTTCTTTCTTTGGGGCCTCGGAGGCTAAAGGATTGCCTGCAGCCCTCTGCCTGCCTAGGAGAGGCGTGAGGGTTTGCCTGGCGCATCCTTAAAGGCGAGGAGAGAAGGGAAAGGGGACAAGGAGGGACGGGGGGAGCTTCAGGGGGCGAGAGGACCGGGCAGTGTCGGACGAGATTTGCGGGGAAGGAAGAAAATAGATCGGGGAGCTGGAGACGAGAAAGAACTGTTTTCTGGAGAAGCGAGGGTCTGAAAGGAAAACTCCCAAGGGATGTAATTTTTTTAAAGGAAAAAGGGAGATTTGTTCGATGGGACACAGCTGAGTGACGCCAGCTGAACAATAAGGACTTGCTTTCTTTGCTGCATTTCACCGTCTAAAATTGTCTAGCCTTATCGGGGCAGAAAATACGGATGTCCTGGGGCAGAGGATGGAGAGGCGGGGGAAGATTAACGAGGGGCTTATTAAAGAGCCATCCGTCAGCTGCTGCGCGCGGGAGATAGCGGCGGAGCAGGCGCGGGACACGCCAGCACTCCCGCCCCAGACCGGGAGCGCCGAGAGCCGCCCGCTGCCTGGGTGCTCTCTGCACCTGATCTTCCCAGCATCCCTGGGACCTGGGGAGAGAAGGGTGGCAGTTTGGTAGTCAGTGCAGAGAGGGGCTATTTAGCGGCTTTGGGGAACCACTCCCTTTTCCGCTTGGCCGCGCCGCGCCCTCCCTGCGTTGCTGGGGTTCTGTCCTCTAGACCTTGGGACTCGGCGTTTACTGAGGAAGGGGCGTTCAATTCCTAGACTCAGCCATTTTCCACCGAAAGCCCAGCCCTGCCGCCGGGCGGCTTGGGAATTTGGCCTTCTCCCCAGCGCGCGACGCCCGTGCGGGCAAGGCCGGGGCCGCTTCCCTGCGCTAGGGTAGCCGGCAGCCACCGAGCTTTGTTCTATAAATAGCCCTGTCCCACTCCCAACCCCACCTCCACCCCCCAACCCTGCCGCCATTCTGGACTTAATGGCCCGTTTCGCGCCAGGTCCCTTCGGCGGCGCTCGGCTTCGGCAGCCGTCATTGTCATGCAGCCAGGCAGACAGAAGCAAGCAAGCCCTGGGCGCCCGCCACAGCCGAGGACTGGGCTAGGGCAGACTCTGGGTGAGGGCTACTTACCTGCGGCGCCCAGCCTGCCGAGGGTGGGGACAGCCCTCATTCACCCCCATCATGTCCCCTGCTGTCCCCTGCTCCTCCGGCTGCAGGCGCTCCACTTCCGCGGGAATAAAAGGTCTAAGTGCTTCTTAGAGGGACAGACCCGATGTGTTCAGAAAGGGTAGAGGCGGGAAAGAGTGGGGCTTTGCAGGGTCCGAAAATAGGGAACCTGGAGTTGGCCTCAACTTCACCTCCCCCACTGTCAGTCAAAGCCAGTTTCCTCCCTGTTTCTGCTCCCCCCAACCCAAGGTAGTCTGTTGAGGAGAAATTGCCTTGGACTAAAGTGCTCTGGCTTTGGGGCCACAGGTTAGGCGGCTTCCCATTAGGTTTGATTCTGAAAGAAAACAAAACACGAAGAGGATTTATTTTCCACACCTTGAGACAACTCTTTAGTTTTCCATTTTAATCTAGTGGAGACAGTGCGGTCTTTGGTGTTGGCTCTGGGTCCACAGCTCCTTGCCTGCCTACACACACACACACACACACACACACACACACACACACACCTTCATCCCTGGAGGGATGGACCTGGAGGGTCCCTTCTTAACTTGACACCATCCAGGTTGGTTTGACCTTTCACATTAAGAGAGCAGAGGAATTCATGGTCCTCTTCCCATTTCCAAATCCATTGCCCTGGATGACTCTCAGAAGCAACCTTAGTGGCTTGCCAAAATTCCACCCCTACCCACTCTCCCCCTGCTCTTCCCCTAAAGCCACAGAATGAAGTTGCAAGGAAGGCCCTGGGCCCCACTAGTGGCAGGTACCCTTAGCTCTGGAGGCAGAATCCCCTGGGGGAGCATAATCAGCTAGAAGAAAGCCATGGTCTTGCCAAGAGCTGGAGAGTGGCTGCAGGCATGGTGGCATGACCGAAATACGAAGAGCTGAAGGGATGGATCCCTGAATTCTGGCTCTGGGCTCTGCTAACTTCCCAGGGTGTCCTTGGGCTTCTGTCACTTATCTCTAGCTGCCAGTTATAGTCCCTGAGCTGTTTTATTTAGCCTACACTCGTGTGTGTGTGTGTGTGTGTGTGTGTGTGTGTGTGTGTGTAATTTTGTATCAATTGCCAAACATTAAAAATAGAGAGATTTCAAGTGTTCTCTTTTTCTGGTTTACCTTGAAAAAAATGGGCAGGGTAGGAAATGGGGGGAAAACATGGTGGGTGCTGTTAGCCCATGAAAATCAGAAAAAGAGGCCATGGTGGCTCACATCTGTAATCCCAACACTTTTGGGAGGCCAAGGTGAGGCCAGGAGTTTGAGACCAGCCTGAGCAACATAGGGAGACCTCATCTCTACAAAAACTTTTTTAAAAAATTGGCCAGGTGTGGTGGCCGCATGTCTGCAGTCCTAGCTACTCAGGAGGATGAGGCAGGTTCTCCTACTTGAGCCCAGGAATTTGAGATTACAATGAACTACAATGGCACCAATACAGTCCAGTCTGGACAATAGCAATAGAGTGTGACCCTGTCTCAAAAAAAAAGAAAAAAGAAAAAAAGAAAGAAAGAAAAAAGCAAAACAAAACAGAAAAAGAGCCCCTTCGTCTATGCATTTACAATTGCATGCCATAGCTTGGTGAACAGAGAATGTGCTGGGCTTCAGCTCCCAGGTGCCCTGTTGGCCAAAGGTGCTTATGCCATACACAGCTCAAAGCCCCACTTGGCAACAACTGGCTGGAGCCAGGTGCTTTCTAGCTACACATGCACCTGCTCACAGGCACACACACACATACACACACACACACTCTCTCGCTGGGCCCCATAAACCCTTCAGTTTGGCAGCAGGGTGAGGAACCCACAGCCGGAGCTCCCCTCAGCTCAGAGGTGGAGTTGTGACTGGGCTCCCCTGTTCTCCCCTTGAAGCTGGCTGGAGTGCTAGCACCCAGCCAAACACAATGCAGCTTTGCCTCTCCTCAGCCTTCCTCTTTGCCTCTAAGAATGTAAAGCTCTGTGACTGGTTACCCACAGGCTAGAACCAGGTCCTTGCAGCTGGGGTGTAGAGCAAGAGGGAGTACAGTCTGCTTCGTTCTCTGGGACCTGTGCTTCCAGGACCCCTTGCTAGCCAGGAAAATTGTCAAGGCACTGACCTCCATGTCATCCACCACCTCTCCATCCTTGGAGAAGCAGTTCCTTTCAGAGCCTCTCAGAGCCAGGGGAGATCTGGATCATCTACCTTTCTGAGGATTCCAGTATTTTAGAAAACAAACACCTTCCTTAACAAAAATATATATTACATGTTTACATTGGCAAATTAATTGTTTTTAACATAAATTATGATGCAGTGTAAGTGTGCTATTCCTAAAATAATTACAGGATTTGGAGAGGATTCGGATCCCTAGCACATTACTGGAAACGCAGCCCAAGAAATGGGATGCAGGTTTAAAGCTGTGTCATAGGGCCAGGCGCGGTGGCTCTTGCCTGTAATCCCAGCATTTTGGGAGGCCGAGGCGGGTGGATCACCTGAAGTTGGGAGTTCAAGACCAGCCTGACCAACATGACAAAAACCTGTCTGTACTAAAAATACAAAACTTAGCTGGATGGGGTGGTGGGTGCCTATAATTCCAACGACTCAGGAGGCTAAGGCAAAAGAATTGCATGAACCCGGGAGGCAGAGGTTTCAGTGAGCCGAGATTGCACCACTGCACTCCAGCTTGGGTGACAGAGCAAGACTCTGTCTCAAAAAAAAACATCTGTGTCATAATGATCATCAGAGAGCCTGAGTCAAAACCTCAAACCGGAGTCCCGCTTCCTGCAGCTGCCCAAAGGAAGGGGCTTCAAGGTGAGGAGACCCAGGGAGAGAATCAGAAGCCTAACCAGATGTCAGGGACAACAGAGTGGAGTTCAGCTGGGTTGGACCTCACCACATGAGGCCACATGGGTTTGGTCTTTCAAGTCTGGCAAATTCCACAGCGCTGTGTTCTGGGACAAGGGAAGCAGTCTCAGAGTTCAGGCGCTAGCCGACCTGCATCCCTCTGGCCAATGAGCACTGGCTCCTGGTTCTGGACTTTGAAGACTTGGAGGAGGAATTCAGGAAGTAGGCAAAGAGATATGGAAAAGGTACAACCCCACCTTTATACCCAAGTGTGGAGCTCTATTACAGTGTTTTTCCCCTGTCTCATGTCCTTTTGAGCTTTAGTGACAAGTGTAAAAGGTGCTGGGAACAACAAAAAGCCTAGTGTCCGCTTTCCCATTCTTCTCTCCAAAAATAGCCCCTGGCTCCCTTGTGTGGGAGGATTCTAATCACCGCAGCCTTCCCCAGCATCCGTCCTTCTCCCACCCATCACCATTGAATTGTGGTCCTGGGAAGCAAAGCTGAATTCTCCGGATTAATTTGCCTTTTTGCACCTCTTGGGAGTTTCTTCCGAGTCTGCCTCGTGGCATATGTGACTCCTCAAGTATATTGGCATTTACAGAGACAGCTTTGGAGTCACCAAGAAGCTTAGAACCTTTTCCTCTTTTCAGTGTGTAGCATTTTGGGCTAAGACTGAAGCTGAATTGAAGGCGGAGAAGCCCAAGGAAAGAGCAGACATGCGGGACCGGAGCCCGCAGGGGATGGTGGAGATGAGGAGGGGAGTGTGCTCCACGCTGCCGGGTTCTCCTGCCCTTCTGGCTTAACCCTCCTTCCCCCTTTGCTGCTGGGGAGGTTTGTTCTGCTCACCTCAGGCGGGAGAACTTTCCACTCTCTCTGAGGAGCAGAGGTGAGGGGCTGAGAATCCTGCCCTGGGTTCAGAAGTCATCTCTGTGGAGTTCTTGGATGACTATCTTTATTCCAGCGTTGGTCACCATCTGCCAGGCTGTAGGCTCCTGGAGGGCAGGGGATCTGTCCCATTCAGCTTTATCGGTCCCCCAGCCTAGATGCTTAGCAAAGTGCTTTTGTACAGCAGGTGCTCAATAATGCTTGTAGAATTAAATGGCAACACACAGAAGATTGAAGCTTTATTTGTCTCCCAATACCTTTGTTCAAGGAGAGGGGGTGGTATAAGAAAAGCCACATTCAAGTTTGCATTCAGAAAAATATCACTCATGTTCAACCCTGTGAGCATTAGCTGGTGCTGGAGGAAAGTATCTGCTCTAATCCTCAGTGTTGGACCTCACTTCTTCTGCCGTCCTCTCCCCTCCTCCTTCTGCTGTCCTCCCTCTGCTGTCTTCACCCTTCTCCCTCTGCAGACCTCATCCTCTTCCCTCTGCTGCCCTGGTGAGGACATCCTCCTCCCTCTGCTGTTCTCCCTTCCTTCTTCTGCTGTCCTCTCCCTCCTCCCTCTGCTGTCCTCTTCCTCCTCCCTCTGCTGTCCTCGCCCTCCTCCCTCTGCTGTCCTTGCCCTCCTCCCTCTGCTGTCCTTGCCCTCCTTCCTCTGCTGTCCTCACCTCTCCTCCTCCCTCTGCTGTCCTCACCCTCCTCCCTCTGCTGTCCTCGCCCTCCTCCCTCTGCTGTCCTCGCCCTCCTCCCTCTGCTGTCCTCGCCCTCCTCCCTCTGCTGTCCTTGCCCTCCTTCCTCTGCTGTCCTCACCTCTCCTCCTCCCTCTGCAGTCCTCGCCCTCCTTGGTCTGCTTTCCTCACTCTCCTCACTCTGCTGTCCTCACCCCTCCTCTCCCTCTGCTGTCCTTACCCTCTTCCCTCTGCTATCCTCACCCTCCTCCCTCAGCTGTCCTCACCTCTCCTCCTCCCTCTGCTCTTCTCTCCCCTCCTCCTTCTGATTATAGAGCCCATAAACAGTGCTGGCACCATCTTCTCAGATTGTGTCTTCTCCTTTAAAGCCCCATCCTGGGGCTGATCACTGGAGTGGAAGCTGTCCAACTTACTTAATTGTGAGTTCACTGTCACATTCAAAGAGGAGAACAGGCTTCACTTACTGTTGTTCTCTCTTGCATGACTGGGTCTTTGCCACTGATGACACTTGGCACTGCCCCCCTCCCTGCCTGAAGGCAAGCAGTGCCAGAGCCACTACATTTAAAATGCAGACACTCCCTTCTCTTCTCAGAAGGAACAAGGGCCTTGCTTGGGGAGTTAATTCGCCCCGCAGCTGACCCTCAGGGGCTGGCAGTTTGAAGCACTCTCTCTGACCAGCTTCTTGTGCCATAGGCTTCTTGCAAAGGACCAACAGCCTGGAAGAGAAGAGTCGCCTTGTGAGTGCCTTCAAGGAGAAGCAGTCCTCCAAGAACCTGCTTTCCTGTGAAAATAGCGACCGAGATGGCCGCTTCCGGCGCACAGAGACGGACTTCTCCAACCTGTTTGCTCGAGGTAGTCCCTGCCCGACTCCTGCCCCTGTGCTAGCCAGTAGATTTCTTTCATTATTATTATTATTATACTTTAAGTTCTGGGGTACATGTGCAGAGCGTGCAGTTTGTTACATAGGTATACACGTGCCATGGTGGTTTGCTGCACCCATCAACCCATCATCTATGTTAGGTATTTCTCCTAATGCTCTCCCTCCCCTATCCCCCACCCCTCGACAGGCCCCAGTGTGTGATGTTCCCCTCCTGTGTCTGTGTATTCTCATTGTTCAACTCCCACTTATGAGTCAGAACATGCGGTGTGTGGTTTTCTGTTCTTGTGTCAGTTTGCTGGGAATGACAGTTAGCAAGTAGATTTCTTATTTGAGTTTCTTGACTTTTTCCTGTAATTTTACCTCTTTTATCAATAAGTGTTATTACTTTCTCTGCACCGCATGAAACTGCTTTTCTGACTTTGTGGAAGTATAATCGACTCCCTCCCTCCCTCCCTGCTGCCTGGGTCTCCATCATTTTGGAAACTGAATGAGGGCAGTCAATAAAAGTCAACTCTAAAGACACTCGAGGGAAAAAATATGAATTCATAGACTCTCAGAGTCGGAGGAACGTTACATATAAGAACATCTAATGATTTCCTTAATAGCATTTATCCTGCAAGACTGGCCACACACACACACACACACATACACACACACACAGAATCACACAGCGGGAAGTTGCATGCTGGGACTCCCAACCAAGGAGTGTCCTGGAACCTGCCTCCCTTTCGGAGGCCTTTCCCTAACCCCTGCCACCCCACAACTCTGGTCTCAGGAGGTGCTTTATCATCTCTCCTGAACAGCTCACAGGTAGATCCACTGCCATTCCATTCCATGAATTCCCCACAGGGCCACGGAAACCAGACCAGAGTGTTAAACAAGACGACTCTAAAACCCGGGAGCTAACCCAGGGAGTCACAGAGTATTGTGCACAGCTGCACAGCCAGCCTGTGAGCTATGGAATTGGGCCCTTACAGCTTTTTTTCTTGCCTAATCTCTAGCCTGATGACTGCAGAGCCTGTCACCCAAAGTCCTCTCTGGATATCTCAAAGTCCAGGCCCAAAAGGATGAAGTCAAGAAAGAGGCTGGGGTTCCCTGTCCCATTTCTTGAGCCTCATCTTCCAGCTCCAGTTTCCGCCAAGGGCCAAAAACTGGATTCCGCCAAGGGCCAAAAACTGGATACCGCCAAGGGCCACCCTCTTTAGGGGGGACCTCAGCCTCTACCCACCGAGGCCTTACCCTCTGATGCCAACAGACCAAGCACATCAGAACACCCAACCAGATGGACCGGGACATGCCTGGTCCCAGGGGAGCACAACAGACACCCCCTCCATCATACTCCTCACAGGTGTCCATTCAACCTGCAAATGACAACTGAAGTCACAGGTGGTTTATGGCTTCTCAGAGCACTTCGCTCCATCTCTGAGCATCGTGTCAGAAAGACCATGAACCCCCAGAAAGCATGCACAAAACTTCTGTGTATGTGCATTTTTCTGGGGATGCGGTACACCAGATTCTCAGTGCACATACATATCCCAGAGTAAAATCAGGTCCTATAAAGATAGCGTGGTTAATCTGGGGGGTATCTGGGCTGAAGAAATCTAGATAGGAGTCAGGTGATAACCATTCATTGCTCTTCCCCATTCAGATCTGCTTCCGGCTAAGAACGGGGAGGAGCAAACTGTGCAGTTCCTCCTGGAAGTGGTGGACATACTCCTTAACTATGTCCGCAAGACATTTGATCGCTCCACCAAGGTGCTGGACTTCCATCACCCACACCAGTTGCTGGAAGGCATGGAGGGCTTCAACTTGGAGCTCTCTGACCACCCTGAGTCCCTGGAGCAGATTCTGGTTGACTGCAGAGACACCTTGAAGTATGGGGTTCGCACAGGTAAGGGGGAGAGCTGGGTGGACAGGTACTGCCAACTTTGGCCTCCATCTCACCCTTGTCAGTGGTGAGGATATCAAACCTGTGCTGGAGAAAAACACAGCCCTGGTGAGGGAAGGTGGCAAAGTGCCCAGTGAGCACAAGAACAAGCTTGGGCAGTAACAGCTGGTGGAGGGCTCTGACCCAGGCAAAAGTTTATCAGCATGTATCATGGTCAAAGTAGATCAAAAATATACGGATACATGGTGCTAGGTCAAGTTCCATATAAAGAGTTTTCATTCTGGCCAAGCATGATGGCTTATGCCTGTAATCCCAGCACACAAAATATATATATATTTGTGTTTATGTACAATAAAATTATCTGGGCATGGTGGCATGCACCTGTAGTCCCAGCTACTCAGGAGCCTGAGGCCAAGAGGCAGAGGCGCTGCAGTGGTGAACCAAGATCATGCCACTGTACTCCAGCCTGGGCAACAGATCGAGACCCTATCTCAAAAAAAAAAAAGACAAAGAATTTTTATTCTTGGATTAGGCTATTTGCAACCTAAAGAGAGCAGAATGACCCATCCTCTGCTTCTTTTCTTGTCTCTATTTTCAGGTCTATTCCATTCCGATAAATCCTGCCCTTGCCTGTCCCTGACACTAAGGAGAATTGGGCTATTTCCCCTGACCTTCTATAGGACTGCCATTATAAATGACTACAAATTGGGTGGCTCAAATCAATAGAAATTTGTTCTCTCACAGTTCTGGAGGCTGGAATTTAAGATCAAGATGCCGGCTATGCTCTCTCTGATGGCTGCTGGAGAGGATCCACCCTTTGCCTCTACCAGCTTCCAGGGGTTGTGGACATTCTTTGGCATTTGTTGGCTTGTAGATGCATCACTCCAACCTCTGCTTTCACTTCACATGGCCTTCTCCCCATGTGTGTCCAAATTTCCCTTTCTTCATAAGAATGCCAGTCATTGGATTAAGCCCCACCCCAATCCAGTATGACCTCCTCTTAACATGATTACATCTGCAAAGACCCAATTTCCAAATAAGGTCACATTCACAGGAAACAGGAATTAGGACTTGAACACACTTAGATTGAACACAATTTAACCCATGACACCTTTTATTGGCTAGGCCAAAAAGACACACACACACACACACACACACCTCATTCTGCTGCAACTTCTGGAGTTAGGACACTCTGAGTCACCAAATTCTATTTCCAGTGGCAGTCCTTGAGGATGATGTCCTTTTGCCTCCTTTTCATGTTCCAGGAGCCCTCTCTAATCAGCAATCTTCATCAAAGCAGTTGCTTTCCAATTGCCTCACATTCAAGGACTTTGGGGCCTCTGTCTGAGATGCTTAGAAACAGCTCAGACTGTGGACTAAGCCCAGGAATGAAGCAGTGGTTTCTTCTCCCTATAGCTCTCTCCACACTAGAGTCTGGCTTTCCTGAGCCCTCAGGCAGAAAGAGCTAGAAGAACAGACAGTCCCTAACGGAGTTGCCACCACAGGGGAAGCTCCAAGGCCACACTGGCATCCCGAGTTGTTTTTTCTTCTTTATCTCTCCTTCTCCTTCATTTTCCCTCTCACTCTTCCTCGTCATTTGAAGATAGATTTCAGACTGAGACTGGAAGAATGGTGGTGATAGAGCTGAGTAAGACTGTTGGATGTCAAAAACAAAGTGTTACAATGAAATCATGATGCTGGCCAAAGACACTTTTTGAAATGAGGAATCCCAGATAGCCGCTGAGGTCTGCCTGCACCAGCGGAATAAGTGCAGCTTCATTAAACAACTGCTGGCTGCACAGCACTCCATTATATGTACAAAGTCCACTTGGTTTGCTTTTCAAAAAAAAGCACTCTATCAATTTACATTTAGTTACTTCTTATCTTGGTCAGCTAGCTAATCTATTCCTGATGGAAAACAAATAGTTATTTGGCTGCATTTTTAAAAGAGTTGGAATTCCTCATATATGTTTAGCTTGACTTGCTTTGGTCTGATTTTTTGAATTTTGTCAGTTGCTCTATGCCTACTTTCTTAGAGAAATGGGAATGACACCATTTATTATGGCAGTCCAGAATGGCATTGTCCCTCAAATAAAAATACATGATTTTGTCATAGTATCATCTAATGTCATCTACAAAACTGAAGCATCTTGTGGTCAGAGAAAGCATGGACAGGCCTGGCCAGGTGGCTCACACCTGTAATCCCATCACATCAGCAGGCTGGCCGGTGGATCATGTGAGCCCAGGAGCTCAAGACTAGCCTGGGTAAAACCCCATGTCTACCAAAAATACAAAAATTAGCCAGATGTGGTGGCATGCACCTGTGATCCCAGCTACTCTGGAGGCTGAAGTGGGAGGATGGCTTGAGCCTGGGAGGCAAAGGTTGCAGTGAGCTGAGAATGCACCATTGCACCCCTCCAGCCTGTGTGACGGCAGGACCTTGTTTAAGAAAAGAAAAGAAAGCACTGACTTTTATTAGTCCAGTGTATGAACCCACTTAGGTACTTAGCCTGCAAACATTCATTTTTGTTCCTCAGAGTTTCTTCATGGGGCAGATATTTGCCTTTACAGAGTTCACTGTCTTCCAAGCAATGTGAAACCTGCTGCATCTCAGGACGTGACCCTGATAAAAGCATGCTGTTGCTGCTGCGTCAAAACAGCTCCTGGTTGCTGATGTGGAATTTAAGCATAGACGTAGGATCAATAGGGTACACCCCACAGGTAGCTACACACAGTAGAGAATATTTTTTAAAGGATATTAATGCATTAATATTCAGCCAAAATAATGAATTGGGCTTTAATAGTGAAAACACACTGATACAGGTATAGTCTGTAAAGAGGTGATGATGGCATTTAGAAATTTCTCTATAAATCAACAAAAATCTTCTTTTACAAAATGAACTATCATAGAGATTCTCTATGAACTAACAGGCACTAGTCAGCCTTCAGCCACAGAAGCTACTTAAGTGATTTGTAGATATGCTGGACTCCCTTCATTGTTCTTTTCTGAAACTTTTTCTTATGGAAAATTTTAAACTTATACGAGAGTAGAACCCTATAATGAACCCTATATACCTAATGCCCTGCTTAACTATCATCAGCTTTTTGCCTGTACCTCCATCAACTCCCCGTCACCTATATTACATGAAAGCAAATCCCCAACACAATATTATTGTATTCATAAATATTCATTCTTAAGAACTTAAAAAAAACCCACAATGTCATTGTCATACCTGAAAAAAGAAAACAAATGTATAGCTCCTTAATACCATGAAATATTTAGTCAGTTTTTAAATTTCCAATTGTATCATGAATGTCATAAAGGTTTTCCTCTTGTCAAACTCATTTGAATCAGGATCCAAATAAGTCTCTTACATGCATTTGGTTTCCATGTGACCTAATCAGGAGATCCCCCTGCAACTCTTCTTTTTTTCTTGTAGTTTATTTGTAGAAAAAGTTTACTTTAAAAAATAATTCTTTCCCTCTCCCCCTACCTGAATTTAGGCTATGAGCGGCCCAGCACCATATCTGTCATCTGTTATTGTCATCCAATATAGAGAACTGAAATTGAAATGTAAAACTATTTTGTTACTTAATAGAAATTCTGGTAGATATAAGATTTGGGGGCATAAGGTTGTAACCATAAGCTAAAAATCAAGTTCTGGAGGACTTCGTGTCCTTTATATTTTAGTGGACAGACAGATACTGTTTCACTTTGTGTTAATCTGTCTGTCTGTCCCCCTTTGCTCTCTGCCAAGTTGGGTGGTTTTGATACAGTATCAAATAGTGTGATTGCATTTATTTACTATTCAGTCTTGTCTTAAAATGAAGTGTTTATTGTTAAAAGTGTTTAAATGGATATTGCTTATATATTTTAATGGCTTTCAACAAAATGTGTTGTTTCAGGAGATCTCATAGATTCTGTTGGAAACGAGCAAAGTAGAGTAATATGGCATCATTTAACTGTTTAGGATACTCCACATGGATACCTAGAATCTGGCCCCATACTTAAACTAAGTTTACTAGTTATGCTTCTTTTAGTTGTCTCTAAAAATCAGTATGATTTTGTGAGGGCTCTTAAGATGCAGAGGTTGGTATCTTCTGATATAAGAAGTCATAGTCCAGATGTTCTGAATCACATCTAGGGAAGAATAGAGATTCTCAGAGAGGAGAGTTAGACCAGGAGCATTCTAACACTAGCTCTCTGACAGTTTTTCCCCCCAGAGGCAAAGGCAATTTCCACTGGAAACACAGCAGTCAGCATATCTTTCTAACCAGTTCCCAGCCACACGTCCCCAGATAATCTATTGCGTTGACTCCTTCCTGACAGCTGAGCCAAGCCGCTGATGTGGAGTTGAATTTTCCATTGAATGCTAAGTTGGCAAAAACTTGGCAACAATCCTGAATTTTCTGAGAGCAAAGCCTATTAAAGCATACTCTGGGTTACACAGGGATTTAGAGTTACGTAGTAAAAACAATTATTTCACCAACAACTCAGTGAGTAAAATAGGCTGTATCTGACCATTTCACAGAGGAGAGCTGGGTCATCTCAGCCATAAATTTATTTTAAAGGTCACCTGACTATATATATATTGGCAAAACACATCAAAACACAAAACACTGGAAAGCATGATTTGTTTCATGATATTAGATATTATTATTTAAAAGCATGATGCTTTAGAAACATAGAAGTTTGGGGGACATCATGAATGCTAAAGGTTGGTATAGGTTGGGTCAACCTGCCCTTCCTTCTCCAGTATCTTTGAGCAGTCCTATTCAACATATCACTGGGATGGAAGCCCCATCGGTGTGACCCAGTGGGGCAGGCTGTTTCCCTTGAAGATAGGTTAAGAAATCTGCATTTGCCTTGATGCTTTCCTGTTACCTCTCTAGGTCATCCTCGATTTTTCAACCAGCTCTCCACTGGATTGGATATCATTGGTCTAGCCGGAGAATGGCTGACATCAACTGCCAATACCAATATGTAAGTCCCACACACCGTTTTCATGTAAGCAACCCTGATGTGTGACTACGGATTGTTGCTTTAAAAGTCCAATTTCAATGGTGCTATTTTATTAAAGTTGCCATGGTCATTTTTTCTCTGAAAATCTTTAGGTTTATCACAGTTCTGCTTTAATGGTAAATACTTGATAAACTATTTTTCAATTTAATAATGCAAAGTACAGGCCGGGCACGGTGGCTCAAGCCTGTAATCCCAGCACTTTGGGAGGCCGAGGCAGGTGGATCACAAGGTCAAGAGATCGAGACCATCCTGGTCAACATGGTGAAACCCCATCTCTACTAAAAATACAAAAAATTAGCTGGACACGGTGGTGCGTGCCTGTAATCTCAGCTACTTGGGAGGCTGAGGCAGGAGAATTGCCTGAACCCAGGAGGCGGAGGTTGCGGTGAGCCGAGATCGCGCCATTGCACTCCAGCCTGTGTAACAAGAGCAAAACTCCGTCTCAAAAAAAAAATGCAAAGTACAAATTCATAGAAAAGTAGATTACAAAACTGAATTTAGGTAAAAGGGTTGTATTGCTTAAAAGGAAAAATTTCATTTGATATCAAGATAGAAGGTAAATTATCCGTTTTTCTTAAACAAACTGCTCTCAGTCAGAAAACCTGAAGGGCATTTAAAATTACAAAGTAACCCATATGCATTCTAAAGCTGTTTAATGCTGTGAGTCAGATACTTAACTACATTCAGAAAAGTTTCTATTAATTAAGGATTTCTGTTTTCTTGGCTAATTTAAAACAACAGTGACAAATTTTAAAAAGCAAATGTGACAAGTGAAGCCTTTGGTGCTAAAAAGCATAAAAGATTAAACTGATTGAAAAACTAGAATGGTTTTCATACTCCCTGCTCGCAAGTCATGGTTAGCGTCACGGAATGTCCATGTTGGGTCACTAAGATTTGGAAGGGCCAAGAGTAATTCAGGTCAGAGATACAGTTGCTTGGATTTCAAACAAAAAGCTCCATTTAGCAATCTTTCCTGTATGGTGACTTTTGAGATAAAAATATACCATCTAGCACAGGCATCACAGTAGACTTACTTATAACTTGGGAAAAGACACTAGTGCTTAATTGTACTATCCAACACTAAGGAACAGTTTACATTAGGAAATAGAGTGTATTTGGAAAATAAGTGAGAAAAACAGAGTAAATATCTATTAAAGTTCAAGTACCTATATTAATATAGGCACTGAATTCACTCAGCACCTTTACGTGTGTGTTCTTTAGGGCTCTCAGCTGCTATATATATCCTATCTCAAGGTAAATAAGGGACCTCCTCCCTTTGAACCACTTATGACCAGATATTCTTCAACCAGAAAAATCCCACAAATTCTCCTTTTTTGGTGTGTGTTCATAAAACCAAAGTCCCTTACTCTTCTCTTAGCTCAGCTGCAAAACACTAAAATGTGTCCCAGCCATCTGAGGTCAAGGCCAATCTAACCAAAGACACATAATAATTGTAGCTGTACTGAATGGTAGATATTTATAAAATATGATCCGATTCTAACAGATCGATAGAGAAGGTTATTTAAAACGGCAAAATAGTTTCTGTCAGTTCTAGAGACAAGGCTTTGCCTGAAGAAGTAATAACTATTATCTGGAAATTGTTCTAAGCCAGTTCCCCTGGAAGATCATGAAATGTGGCAGCACTGTCAGGAGCTGAGGCAGAATTTGCTCCCTTGTGACAACTCCGTCTCCAGTTGGAAACAGTGCTCAAAATAAGTCTGGGAAAGAATGGCAAAAGGATCTTTCTCTGGCAGTGCAGGATTTATTTAGTGATAATGCCTGGTTTTTGGTCCTGTACTCTCATTGAGTTCAGGTGGCACCTGACATAGAGAATAAAAACTATATTCCTCAGTATAGTTTCTTTAAAAGAATGATCGAATAACCTGACTCAAGTGCGAAGTGCAAGGTCTCAGACTATTAGAATAGAAAGACTGTAGGTCAGGCGCAGTGGCTCACGTCTGTAATCCCAGCACTTTGGGAGGCCAAGGTGGGTGGATCACCTGAGTTCGGGTGTTCAAGGCCAGCCTGGCCAACATGGTGAAACCCATGTCTACTAAAAACACAAAAATTAGCCGGGCGTGGTGGCAGGTGCCTATAATCCCAGCTACTCAGGAGGCTGAGGCAGGAGAATCACTTGAGCCTGGGAGGTGGAGGCTGCAGTGAGCTGAGATTATGCCTCTGCACTCCAGCCTGGGAGACAGAGCAAGACACCATTTCAAAAAAAAAAAAATAGAAGTCTATGTTTGTGCCTTTACATCTGCTTTTGCTTTGAAGTATGTTCTTCTTCCAAGGACCCAATGAAGATCCAAAGAAAACTTTACAAATGTCTAGTTGTCCAAGGCACATACAGCTCTTTTCCCCAACACAGGGCCACCAAGCACAACCGTGCAGGTGGAGCCGGACCCAAGTGTAAATAACAGCCCGCCCTCAATACCTGATGGCAATACATAATCATAATGGCAAAATCTATCACAACCCTTTGCTATGAGGTTATGATTTCAAGCATCTAGCACTTTATTTTCTAGGAAATATCCAGGAGGAATTCTCTATGGGGTTATTCGTCATTGCACACCACTGGGCAGGTCATTAGACGGGAGCCCGCAGTCAGCAGTCAGCAGTTCGCATTTGTCATGCAAAAGCAGCTGGGACGTAAAGGATCTGGAATTCTGATGAAACACACTAACTGGGAGATCTTAAAACAAATCACTGTATTTCTCTGAACCTCAGTTTCCTCATCAGGAAAATGGAGGATAAGATTATCCATGCTACAGAGTGCTTCTGAAGACTAAAAATGGCTCCAGTCCTAAGTGCCTAGTGTATACAAGGTACAGTGTGTGCACCTCGGAAAGGCAGCCACCACACAGGTCACTGTTGCTATTTGAGACCCTCCTGAGTCTTTTATTTCTGCCTCATCATCTGGACAGCAGAGGGCTTTCCTAAGCTCCCTTCAGCTATGTTACCTTTTAAGGTGAAGATGTGCTACCTGCCACATCTGTAAGGAGAGGAATAGCAGGATAGAGTCAGCATGGAAGATTATTTCTTTCTCTCATTAAAGAAGTTCCCAGTTTGACAGTCACCAGGGATCCAGATTTTGTGTGCCTTTCTAATCCCTATTGTAGCACATGGCTCCCATCCTGAAAGTTGCATCGTGGTGCAGGCTGGCTGCTAGAGCTCCAGCCATCACTCCTGTGTTCCAGAACTCAGAAAGGAGGGAGGGAGGAGGGAGGGGGAAGGGAGGAAGGAAGGAGGGAAGGAGGGAAAGAGAAAAGAAAGAAGGAAAGGGAAAGGAAGAAGAGAGGGAGGAAGGAAGGAAGGAGAAAGGAAGAAAGGAAGGAGAAAGGAAGAAAGGAAGGAGAAAGGAAGAAAGGAAGGAGGGAGGGAGGAAGGAAGAAAGGAAGGAAGGAGGGAGGGAGGGAGGAAGGAAGGGAGGGAGGAAAGGAGGAAGGGAGGGGAAAGGAAGGAAAGAGGAAGGGAGGGAGGGATGCAGGGAGGGAGGGAGAAAGGAAGGAATGGTGGGCAAAAGAGACATACTCCTTTCTGATTAAAAATAAAATTAAGGCCGGGCACGGTGGCTCACGCCTATAATCCCAGCACTTTGGGAGGCCGAGGTGGGTGGATCACAAGGTCAAGAGATCGAGACCATCCTGGTCAATGAGATGAAACCCCGTCTCTACTAAAAATACAAAAATTAGCTGGGCGTGGTGGCGCGTGCCTGTAATTCCAGCTACTCGGGAGGGTGAGGCAGGAGAATTGCTTGAACCCAGGAGGCGGAGGTTGCGGTGAGCCAAGATCGTGCCATTGCACTCCAGTCTGGGTAACAACAGTGAAACTCCATCTCAAAAATAAATAAATAAATAAAAATAAAATTAAAACCTTTCTCGGGAATCTCACACATTTCCATAACACCTCTTTAGCTAGAACTTAATCCATGACCACACCAAAAAAGAGTAGAAAACAGTCTTTGGTCAGAGTGAATTGCAACCCTCGATAAAATTTAACAAAGCAAAGAAAAATTGATATGGCCAGCAACAAGCAGACTCTGCCACATAGGACCTACAGCTTGTTGACAATCAATTTGCCTCCATTCTGAGTGAACCCCTCTGGGAAGGTGAGTTGAACCCCTGAAAAAGGGCTGACTCACTTCCCTACGCGGAATATAGACATGCTCAAAATGCTCTTTTAGTGTCACTCCACGAACGCCACCATCCTACTGTTTGACATCCTTACTTCCAATCCCATGTTCTTATGCTTCAACCCAGAACTTCTGGCAGGCTTAATTTCTGGTTCTGACTCTGAAATGTAATCTTAGATTTTGACTTTAGCATCTAACCAGCTTCTTCTGAATTCATATTTGACCTTTGATCTCTTGACTTCATTTGCTTTCATCAGTATTTTACTAAAAGGGTACCAACCTGGAGTCCAGGTTGCAAGAGAAGAATCTCCTATAGTTCTATACAAAATGATGTGCCTATCTTCAGTTTTTACCTGGAGAGGGGAACTGCGGATTTCCTAAGATTCCCAAAGGAGTCTGTGATCCCAGTTAGGTGAAGAACCACTGGGCATGGTAGCTCATGACTGTTACCTCAGAATTTTGGGAGGCCAAGGCAGGAGGATCACTTGAGGCCAAGAGTTCAAGACCAGCCTGGGCAACATAGTGAGACCTCCATCTCTAAATAAAATACAAAAAAAAATTGAAAAAAAAATTTTTTAACTGTTTTAGGTGAACCACAAGGCCTTCTTTAAGGCTGTGGGCAGCTGTACAGATTGTAAACATGACCCAGGATGGGGCAGCAGGGTCAGAAGAAGTGTCAGGAATGAAGAACACCATGTCAGCCCATTTGCCAGGCCTGGCTGTGGATCAGCAGCCATGGACCTATATGCCAGCTTTCAGGAAAGCATGTCAGGACTAAGCTCAGGAGTCAGGAAAAGAGTGGAAAATTGGTCCTTTAGACTCAGGCAGGGACTATCAGACAGGATGCAGCTAAGGCCAAGAATCAGACGCTAGATTCATCCTTCCTCCTCAAGGTTGAGAAAGGTATCTTCTAATATCTTAGTTTCTTAGTACATAGGATGTCACCTGGCAGAGAATAGTCACTCAGTATTTGTTGAATAGAACCAAAAGAAAGTTTAAGAATCAGGTACCTGGCATAGATATGGAAACTGAAATCGATGAGATCAGTTAGTCTCATGATCAAACTCACTAGACTCTTCCTCCTGAGAGTAATGGCCATGTTCCTGGTCCTTAGGGAGGCTAATTCATGCAAACCTTGGGCGTAATTTGATTTGAATCATGAAGCATGGAGTTGGACCTATGCCTGATATTCAGTCCCTCTCCCTTGTCTATGTGGTTCCTGCCTGGACAACATTGACTTGACTCTAAGTCAACTTTCATCCAGTCTTTGATGTGGTTGTGATATTATGGTATGTGATTTCGTTTGTTCCTTGCCTTACCCCAGAGAGCTTTCTTATATGGTACTGGGAGATTGTAGCACATGCACTACCCCCAGTATCTCCCCACCATGCAAACATTTTTGCCATTTCAATATTTCCAAAAATCAGCAGAACCGTTAATAACACATTTGTTCAAGAATGGTTAGAAGCCCATCGTGAGTTTGCCTCTTGGTACACTCAGCAGCACAGGCTAAATCAGGAATCCTTCTCTTCTTCTTCCTTTATCAGGCCATCAGACATGAGGGAGTGTTGGTTGCTACGGTGATGGGGCTCAGAGCAGAACCAAAGCATGATTGTGACCTCCAGAGGTGATGGTAACTGCACACATGGTTTCCAAGGGTCTTCCTAAATTTCCAGGCGCCTCCCAAGGAAAATGGACATATTCTTTTTGGAAACAAAATGCTTCTACAAACATATCTGAGGATCCCTCAGGATCTTTTTTGTCTTGTTTTACCTCCATGTGATTAATTTAACTGCTTTTTTCATCCACAATTAAAACTTAGTAGCTTCACCTGTGTCTCATGTACAACAATAGTTATCTCATCCTTACAAATAGCTTTTCTAAATCATTAAACAAGCAAGAATTCCCATTAGTCTTCAACATTAGCATTTGGCTGAAACACCCTAACCAGTGATAAAGCTTCCCCATGTCACTTGGCTGAGTCAGTCTAGGCATCTCTTTTCAGTGAGAATGGTCTGAGCCCAGCCTACAGACTCTAACGCTGAAGAATGCCAAGCAAGAACAAGAAGGACAAAGAGCCTCAGAGCTTAGTAAATATCTTTTTGTTTTCTGGCTTGTCTGTGGACAGATCTTCCTTGATTTTTCTGAGGCCCCACATTTGGTCTCATGATCTTGTTTCAATGACTAGTCTACCAGCCTGTGCCTCTGCATTGAATTGCTTTGAAAAGAGCATCGCTTGCTACTTTTAAATCAGTTTGTTAGAAGACGAATGTAACCTGCCGAGATAACTGATGCCCACAGCTAGCTGTGTATGCCAGTTGACCATCTTGCTGTTATTTATAATTTGTAATTAGAAAATCATCATTTATAATTATTCCTGACATATACTGACTTCAGAGAATTATAGAAACATAGCTTTCCTTGAGAATTATTAGTAGAAAAACCATGTAGATAATTATATTGAGATCTTTAAAATTTGGGTCAATATTTCCAATTATCTTCACAGTTAGCTTTCAGATGTTTACATTATCTTTAAAAGATAGACTTTGGCTCTGGACTTTATATATTCTACAAGTGTAAAACTGGCAGTCAGTTTTTTTAAAAAAAAATTGTAAACCAATTTTATGTAGAACTTGGAATGCTTTTTTCAATTAACATTTGCATTGTCCTATAATCTTAGCGGTAAAAGGGACTCAGAAAAGTCATTTTCTTTCCTTCTGTTCCTCTGGGTGGACCATGCCTAAGACATTCTATTCAGTTAAGAATCTATTTTGTTGGTGAAGTATCACAGGGCTGGCACTTCCACCACCTCTCTCAGTAACCCAGGCTGGTTTCTGACATTTTATGATCGGCGACTTAATGCATTTCCAGGAAATGGATCATATTAGTGGTTTTGAACAGCTTTTTTAAGAACCCAACTACAAACAGTAAACCAATCTTATGCTCCTAAAATAAGTGATTTGACTTCTTTATTTTCTTTCATCCTTTTTCTTACCACCTTTCCAGGTTTACATATGAAATTGCACCAGTGTTTGTCCTCATGGAACAAATAACACTTAAGAAGATGAGAGAGATAGTTGGATGGTCAAGTAAAGATGGTGATGGGATATTTTCTCCTGGTAGGTTTCTCTTCTCTTCCTCTTCTCAAGGTTTGAGATTCTTGAGAATACAAAATATGAAGTAGGTCTGTGGAAGAATAATGCCTTAAAAAATTTTTTGGGATATTCTGACTTCCTATCTTTCTCAAGATGAAGGCTAGCAAAAGTGCTACGTCCTATATGAACGAACTAACAAAGGCTGTGCCTAAATCCATAAAAACTGACAAAGGCTGTGTCTAGATCATGCTAAGGAACCCCATTTTTTTGAGACAGGTTCTTAGTCTGTCATGTAGGCTAGAGTGCAGTGGTGTGATCCTAGCTCACTGCAGCCTCAAACTCCTGGGCTCAAGCAATCTTCCTGCTTCAGCTTCTCAGTTAGCTGGGACTATAGGTGTGTGGCACCATGCCCAGCTGTTTTTAAATTTCTTTTGTAGAAACAAGGTCTCACTATTAAACAACTCCATTCTGTCAGTTTGATTATGCTGGGGATCAGTGAATCAAGATTATTAATTGATTGATTGATTTCGGCTAAAGTAGTACATCTACTTTGAATCTCTAGTTTGCAGTAGATAAAATAAGAATTTTTAAAACAAGAATAGGTATTCTGATGGTGTCAGAGACAGTGTGATTGTGTACAAGGAAAAAAGAAGAAATAAGAATTGCAGTTATCTAGGTAATTGAAGCAGACCACAAATTTGCCAGTTTAATTGTCATATAATTAATGTAAAATTAACTAGTTTGTGTTGGCCAGACATACATAGTTATGTCAGTTCTCCTTGTGTCTTTATTTATGTAAACATGGGTTTGTTCTTATTTTAATAAACTTAGAGTTCTCCTAAATGACTCAGTAATTCAGTTGGGCTGAAGAGAGCACCTAGGCAGGTAACCAGGAAATGTCATTGTTTCTGTAGGCTCCATTACTCTCTCTCACTGTCTTTCTGAACTCAGGGAACAGATACACCTTTGCTCAGTAAATAGATTGAGCAGAAAGTTAAAGCAGGAAGGTTATAACTCACTCATCCCTTTGCAGCCACTGCTGCTGCTACCTCTTATATTTCTGTCTAGACTTCAAGTGGAAAGGGCACTGAAGTACATGAATTACCTCCCGCCAAACTGCCTAGATAGCTTTGGTAATAAGTGTGACTACTTGTATTCCCAGGGTAAAGGGTCCAATGGGAAGCCCCAGCAATAGGGAAGCCAGCAAAACCTATCAGGATATTATCCTTCCGCTTCCTGACCTCCCTTGTCTCTTGAGACACCAGCTCAGCGTTCGTTTTTAGAAACAATAATGAAAGAGCCCCAACACCTCCCAATATATCCGCTTGCTGACAGGGGGCGCCATATCCAACATGTACAGCATCATGGCTGCTCGCTACAAGTACTTCCCGGAAGTTAAGACAAAGGGCATGGCGGCTGTGCCCAAACTGGTCCTCTTCACCTCAGAACACGTGAGTCGGGGATGCTTTCTCATGAATAGTGGTGTTTTTGAGGGGACTCTCCAATTTCTAACCTTGAGCCTCTGTTTGTTGCAGAGTCACTATTCCATAAAGAAAGCTGGGGCTGCACTTGGCTTTGGAACTGACAATGTGATTTTGATAAAGTGCAATGAAAGGTAGGCAGGGGAGAGTGAATATTAGGTTCTTGATGTATTAAATGTGTTCATCTGGTAAATTTGTTTTATTGTGCTTAAGGACTGGCTCAATGCAGTGTGCCAAGCTGCTAATGGTCTGTTGAAAATATCCGATTAAATTGCTTTTTGCTGCTGCTAAAGTTTTTTCATGTGCAATCTCATTGATTCTTCATTTTAATTTCCCTCCTTTTCCAACAATTATAGGGGGAAGATAATTCCAGCTGATTTTGAGGCAAAAATTCTTGAAGCCAAACAGAAGGTATGTACTCTGTGGTACATCTAAACACCATTGAAAACATGTTTTAAAATACCTTCTTCCTGCCCTACACAAAAAATGTCCTTGATAAGAGACAATTTTCTTGTGTTTCTAAAACTATTCTTAGATAATGTGCTTATTTCCAACTTGTAAGATATTTTATTTTAAAGCTATATCTATACAATGTCAGGTTTGTTTTTCTTTTTTTAATGAAAAATGCAGTCATTAAACTATTTGTCCCGTCTCCATTGTGCCAAGTGATTGGTTGGATGTTCTTCAATAAAATCAGCTACTGAGCATCATGAAGATAGAGCCTAATCGAAATTTTTACTTGCTACTTGTTGGGTATTATCTCATTTTAACAAATGCCATTTTAGCTTAGGATTCTGTTTAGCAAAGTGCTTCCATGCCCTGGCAGATGGCCCATGGTGCTTGGTGAATCCAGCCTCAACAAACTCTATTAAACAAAAAAAAATCTCATAGAATAGATGTATCCACAAGTCACTGCCAGGAAGCTGTCAGGCCATTTACCAACACATGGTTGTTTTGGTTACATTCTTGTACCTCCTTCTCTTATTGTAGTTGTTTGCTTGGGTCTTGGCACAGGAGTTGGATCTGAGGAAGGAGCAGAGGTAGAGCGGAGCTTCAAAAAAGACTTAGAGGCCGGGTGCTGTGGCTCACACCTGTAATCCCAGCACTTTGGGAGGCTGAGGCCGGAGGATCCCTTGAGCCCAGGAATTTAAAACCAGCCTGGCAACATAGGGTGACCCACATCTGTACAAAAATGTTTTTAAAATAGCCAAGTATGGTGGTGCATACCTGTAGTCCCAGCTACTTAGAAAGGTGAGGTGGGAAGATTGCTTGAGTTGGGGAGTTAGAAGCTGAAGTGAGCCATGATCATGCCAATGCACTCCAGCCTAGGTGACAGAGCAAGACCCTGTCTCAGAAAAAAAGAAAAGCTTAAGACTCACAGATTTCCCCAAACTTGTCTTATATCTATTACTCTACTCCTTCATTTATTTTTTGTTTATGTCAACATTTCACCATGTCCACTGTTAGTGAGTGTATCAGCTTTCACAATATATAGACCTGTTTTAAATAATCAAACCCCACAATGTTTCAGTATAATTATTATATCAATTCACTTAAAACAACACAGCCCCTTAAAAGAATAATGCCCATGTGATATTCAGAACTACCTGGCCAGCATTCCAAACACTTATTATTACTCTTTTTGCCATATAATTTATTGCTATCAAACATATTATATATTTTGCTTATTTAATTTAGCTTATTACCTGTCACTTGCTGCTAAAATGTAAATTCCACAATGACAGAATTCTTCATCTATTGTGCTCACTGCTGAGTCCCAGCATATACAGCAGGGCCTGGCACATAAAAGGCACTAAAAAAAAATTGGTTGAATAAATGAATGAGTGAGTGAGTGAAGGAGCCAACAAAACACTACTAGACATAGTATCTGGTAACACTCAAGCTTTGCCAATTACTCTTAGAGATAAATGCTACGCAATTCTTCTGCTTCCTGTGGAAATCAGCAAATGAGAAAGGTCAAAAACACTAATCAGCCTGTATCTGTCTTTCCTTGTAGGGATATGTTCCCTTTTATGTCAATGCAACTGCTGGCACGACTGTTTATGGAGCTTTTGATCCAATACAAGAGATTGCAGATATATGTGAGAAATACAACCTTTGGCTGCATGTCGATGTAAGTGCTATAAATCAGAGAGGCCCAGTCCATGTGGGGGGTGGTGGAAGCAGCTCTTTTTTATGATTTGCCTCAAGCTTCTTCCCATGCCCCAGCCAGCCCCTCTCTCCATACCACATTAGTTCCAGTTCTTGTCTGGACCCTAGCCAGCCATTCACAGTCAGTACACACCACAAACCTGGAACATCCTCTGGGACTCATCCAGTTCCTTACTAGTCAATTGATGTCTTCTGTGGTTCATCCTAGAATATGGTCTCATCACCTTCCCAGGTAGCTTTGTTGGGACAAAGGGCTACAGACTAAAATATAACTGATTTCAGAGGGAAAAAATAGAAGATACAATATACAGAGAAAGGCCATGAATGTGAACCCTCAGCTACCTGCCTTCAGTCCAGCCATCTATGACACTTCTCTTAAAAAGTACATACCTGGCTGGGTGCGGTGGCTCACACCTGTAATCCTAACACTTTGGGAGGCTGAGGCAGGTGGATCACCTGAGGTCAAGAATTTGAGACCAGCCTGGCCAACATGGTGAAACCCTGTCTCTACTAAAAATACAAAAATTAGCCAGGTAGGGTGGTAGGTGCCTATTATCCCAGCTACTTGGGAGGCTGAGGCAGGAGAAATGCTTGAACCTGGGAGACAGAGGTTGCAGTGAGCCGAGATCATGCCACTTCACTCCAGCCTGGGTGAAACAGCAAAACACTGTCTCAAGAAAAAAAAAATGCATAGCTGCTACATTTAGGAAAAATAAGGCAGTGTATGGAAAGCATCATCAACTAAGAGATTTAGTCCCAAATTTTCCCAGGAACACAAAAGATGCATTTTCACGTGTGACTGGGTGTATTTTTTTTTCTGTCTCTCTGCCCATTTTCTTAGGGATTTAACTTCTCATAATTGGCCAATAGTCGAATCTGCCTTGCTACTGAACTAATGACTAACAAAGGCTGTGTCACGTGGCATCCCAAGCTATTCAGTAAACATGCATTGTGGTACCCACAAAAATGTCTTGTTGTTGTATAAGCTGTTGTGAGACCTCCAAACCCAGCAGGAACTGCTGCTTTTTGAGTGTTTCAGGAGCTGTTAAAATTCTACTCTGGAAAGAACCAGACAGCAGGCCTCAATTTTGGGGGGCAGCTTCCAGAGCTACCCGGAGGGGGAACTCACCATGTAGCTCTGGCTTCCCACAGCATGTCGGGCTATTGGGCCATTGGACCTTTCAGTCTTGGCAGAACAGGCATCACAGGCTCAGACCTGGCCTACCTGTATCACTCGTGCAGCTACTCTCCAGAGGAACTTTGAAAAAGAAATGACAAACAATGAAGAATCACAACTGGTTAAACAATCAATGTGGGCTCAACTTTTCAGAGAAACTTATGTTTTTCACTTTAGACTTTCTTGCTCACATTTTACTAGAAGTGAGGAGTGACTAGTTTTAGATTCTTAAATGTCACTGCTCCCCCTCTCCTCACCTCTCCCTCTCCCCACAGGCTGCCTGGGGAGGTGGGCTGCTCATGTCCAGGAAGCACCGCCATAAACTCAATGGCATAGAAAGGTAAGGGTCAGAGCTCGCCAGGCCTCCTTCCATCCAGCACATCAAACAGACTATACTCTGAGGTCAGCCTGCACCGCCCTGCCCTGATTTCCAGCATCCGATTTCGGTCTAAGTTCACTTTAGTTCAGCAGGCATTTGTTGAACATTTATTGGATGATTGGTAACAAATGTGACTACTTGTATCCCCCGTTAAATGAATCCTGAAGGAGTTCACCATTTAGAAAAAGAGAAAGACAGGCCCGGTGTGGTGGCTCACACCTGTGATCCCAACACTTTAGGAGGCTGAGGTAAGAGGATCACTTGAGCTTAAGAGTTTGAGATCAGCCTGGGCAACATAGTGAGACCCTGTCTCTAATAACAATCAATCAATCAGTGAGAAGGACAAGTAAACAAGTAGTTAGAACACAATGTGATAAGTGTAACAGGAGACAATTGCAGGTGCCCAGGTAGGAGACGAGAGAGACTAACCAGTGAGGGAAACTGGAGGCCATCGGAGTTTGCCAAGGGCACAGGAAGGGCCACTGGTTCACGTTCCTCTTCTTCCTCATTAAGCTTACTTGCAGAAAGGGCAGGACACTCAGCTCCTAACTTATTTTCTTTTTCACCATGTAAGTTCAGTGGATATTCTAGGCCAAATATGATTTTGACCTGACTCCTAAGTGCTGAGCCATTACAAAGACACATTGATTCATTGATTCATTCAGCATATATTTACTGAGCACCTATCATGAGCCAGGTAGGAGTGGATGTGAATATTCAGTTACCTGTCTTCCATCCAGCCACCTATGGTGCTTTTCTAAAAATATGCATATCCAACAAATGCAGGAAAAATAAGGCAGTATATGAAAGGTGTTATCAACTAAGAGATTTGCCCTCCTGAAGTTTACACTCCAGTGGGCTAGATGTTCATAACAAATATTTAATCTGTCTCATAGTAAAGAAAAATAAAACAGGGTTAGGTAACAGTGAGTGATAAGGCATGCTGTTTCAGACAGGGTAGTCAGAGGCCTTTCTGAGGAGGTGACATGTCAGCAGATACTGAGATAAAGGGAGATAGGAAGCAAGGATATGAGGAAGAGTATTCTGGGCAGCGGGAGTGGCAAGTGCCAAGGCCCTGAGGCAGGACAGTTCTTGGCAAGTGGGAGGATCATCAGAGAGGCCAGTGGGGCTGGAGCAAGGTGGGAGAGGTAGGAGCAGACTAAGGAGGGAGAGGCGAACAGGGAGGAGGCAGCGGGAGAGCACACCCATGGCTTCTCTCGTAACCAGGACTCTGGCTTTTGTTACCTCTACTGTGCCTCCCCAAAGTTCTGACACAGTTTTGAAAGACCAGTGTCAACATGGGTGAGATCAGCTCTGTGAAGTGGACAACCCCGTAACTTGCAGAATAATGTAAGAAATCTCAGCTGGGCGCAGTGGCACATGCCTGTAATCCCAGCACTTTGGGAGGCCAAGAAGGGCAGATCACTTAAGGTCAGGAGTTCAAGACCAGCCTAGCCAACATGGTGAAACCTGTCTCTACTAAAAATACAAAAATTAGCCAGGTGCGGTGGTGTACACCTGTAATCCTAGCTACTTAGGAGACTGAGGCAGGAGAATCACTTGAACCTGGGAGGCAGAGGTTTCAGTGAACTGAGATCACACCACTGCACTCCAGACAGGATGACAGAACAAGACTCTGTCAGAGAGAAAGAGAGGAGACAGAGAAAGAGAGGAGAGAGAGAGAGAGAGGGAGAGAGAGAGAGAGAGAGAGACGAATCTGGATGAGCCAAGCCAACTTAACTTTAGATTTCTCAATGTTAATTTTCTGTCTTTGAGTCTAAGAAAACTTGAAACATTTCATAAAAGACGTTTTTTCCTAACATTTTAAATCATATAAGGCTTCTAAAGGAAATTGAATTTATATTATGTCTTATTACTTTCCCTTTGTAGCAGCAAAGAATCATTTACCTCAAACGTTTAGGATATGCAGAAAAACCATTTAAGACATTTTATGAGACCTAAATATAATTTTTTAATGACTTGGTAAATTATAGCAATGAGAAATTTGATTAAATTCACTATCTTTTAAATATGGCCGGACACTGATGCTTTTTAGTGAGCTAAGCACTTAGTTAACTTTCCTTGGAATTTTTCACAGGTCTCTTTCACAAAAGTTTTATCATACACTGAAGGGAAAGGGTCTTCAGACCTTCCTCTCTTCTCCTTGAAGCACAGTGCACATGTGCACTAAATTATTTTCTTAGGTTCTTTAACTAAAAGACCTAATGAGGATGAAGAGGTTGAAAATTCACAGCAAGGGTTTAGTGCTAGGGAGAGCAGAGGTAGAATGATTCTGAGCCAGCCAATTGCTCTATCTGGGGGAAATGATCCTTCACAGATATTAAAATGCAGTGCCTAGCTATTGGCCAGGCCTTTCGGAAGGAGTCTGCAAACCAATGAAGCAGGTTACTCAGGTTTTAATCATCATGTTAGACTTAGTTGTTTCTGTAATGCCCTAGCTAGTGTGCTCCTTAACCATCTAATTGTGTCTGACAGAATGATGCGGTTGCTAGGAGACCATGCTTGTTAAGCTATCATTGCAGCCCAAACTGGCACAATCTTGCTCATTTAGCATTTAAATAATGCTGCTAGGTAGTCAGAGTCTAGACTAGTCCAGTCGAGCCTTGCTTTTAGGTACCACTCTTGATACTGTCCCTTAAGTGGATAGGTCAGTGTCACCAGCCTATAAATGAGAAGAAAAAGGCAGAAAGAAGCCACTGATCTCCTAAAGAGAAGCAGTCTAGTAGAGTGGTTACGAACAATGGCTGTGCAGTTAGAATCCTTGGACTTGAATCTTGGCTCCAACACTTCCCAACTCAGTGTCCTTGGGTAATATATTTAACCTTTTTACGTGTTAGTTTCCCCATCTAAAATAGAGGTAATAATAGTACCTACATCATAGGGTTGTGGTGGGAATTATGTGTGCCAGGCACTCTTGTAAGCATTTGATATTTATAAAGCCATTTTTTCCTTTATTTAATTCTGTGAGGTACACACTCCCCACTTAACAGATGGGGAAACTGAGGCACAGAATATGCCCAAGTTAACAAATGCCCGAGCCGGGACTCAGACTTAGACAGTTTGGCTCCAAAGCCTGAGTTCTTAACCATGATACCATATTGATATAATACCTGAAAGCTCTCAAAACAATAGGACATATAATAAGTTATTCACAAATGTTATCTATTGTTAATAGCAGTCATTTCTAAGATACAGTCAGCAATACAATACTCCAAGTCTACCTGCAAAACCTTTGTTTACTACTTGATTAGTCAATTCAGGAGAATAGGCATGGGTAATATTTACTGACTTGAGTTGGGATGGGGGTGTTTTCTTCAAGAGAAAAGTTTTCTCTTTCTGACTCTGGCACATTCTCAAAGTCTCATGCGCTTCTTTCAGGGCCAACTCAGTCACCTGGAACCCTCATAAGATGATGGGCGTGCTGTTGCAGTGCTCTGCCATTCTCGTCAAGGAGAAGGTCTGTATTCCCTTCAAAGCTATGCTGGGGCCTGCACGTTATTTAGAAGGCAGGAAAAGAGACGCACACGGGATCTCTTTGCAGTACTTGTTGGCTGGCTCATGAGATTGACAGCCCCATTGAAAGCCTGCTGCTGCTGTCCTTTCCTGCCCTTGCAACTAACCTGGTTTCTTCTTTTGGCTCTTGCTGTCTATTCTGCTTCTTCCTTGATCAGTACTCAGGGTCTGTCAGCAACTGAACCTTAAAGGAATTATTTAATTGAGTATTCATGTTTGCACAATTAGGTGAGGCATCCAATCAGTTTTGTCCTCAGTAAGGACAAAATCCACTCACTGGAGCATGCTCGGAGTTCTTAGCATGAATGTGTGGGTCCCAAGACAAATAAATGAGAGGAAACAACAACTCTAAATATCAACTTGGGGCCACAAGAAATGTCGCCCCCAAAGCTGCTGTAAATGGTTGAGCCTCGGCCAGGCACGGTGGCTCACGCCTGTAATCCCAGCACTTTGGGAGGCTGAGGTGGGCGAATCACAAGGTCAAGAGATCGAGACCATCCTGGCCAACATGGTGAAACCCTGTTTCTACTAAAAATACAAAAAAATTAGCCGGGCGTGGTGGTGCGTGCCTGTGGTCCCAGCTGCTCGGGAGTCTGAGGCAAGAGAATCGCTTGAAGCCAGGAAACAGAAGTTGCAGTGAGTCAAGATCGCGCCACTGCACTCCAGCCTAGTGATAGAGTGAGACTCCGTCTCAAGAAAAAAAAAAAAAGAATGGTTAAGCCTCATATTCTCTTCTTCACACCCCTACTAATAGGACCCTGCCCTCCAAGGCATTGTTGCTGTATTAAAACTTCCGTTCACAGAAGCATTCCAAAAAGTCTGTCTCCAGCCTGTAGGAGCCAGACCCGCACAGCCTCTTTACTCCACTCCTACGTGGAGTCCATGCAACTTCATAGGAGGCCCTGGAAAGGGTGGAAGGCTTTTGCCAGAGCGCTTTTGGAGAGAAAAATTCTTCACAGCATGAAACTGTCCCACCCACTGAGGAAGTTTCTGTCTCTAACCTCAGCCACTGAATGCCACAGCACTTCCCAATCTTGAAACAATCCGAAACACCCACACACATTTCCCCTTAGAGGGATTACATCTGAGACAGGAAGATCATTTTCTAATCAGAGAGTCAGAGACAAAGGGATGGCAGTTTTTCCAAGGGTGATTGTAGAGAAGAACATCAGAACTAGTGTAAGGCCTCATAAAGACAGCAGAAAAAAGATTGCATATGACCTCAAGCCCCTCCTTCCATCCAGCCCCGTTTTAAAACCAGCTGTAAATGTATCTGACATGTAAATGCAGATGCACTCATCTTGATTTCCATGATAGGGTATACTCCAAGGATGCAACCAGATGTGTGCAGGATATCTCTTCCAGCCAGACAAGCAGTATGATGTCTCCTATGACACTGGGGACAAAGCAATTCAGTGTGGCCGCCACGTGGATATCTTCAAGTTCTGGCTGATGTGGAAAGCAAAGGTATGAAGGGAATAATTCAGGAAATAGAGCAGAAACTTAATTTGCACAGACTGGCTGGCAAAAGGGAGGTGAAGATATATCACAGATAATTCACTATAAGTGGAATCAATACCTAGATAATTGAATTAACTGTGTTTTCTTTGTGAATGAAATTACTTTATTCCTTGCGTCAAATTCTCTCTCCTTTCATTCAGTCTCCTCAATTTGAACTATCATGAAGTCTTCTTATAACGTTCTCATAATGACTAAAAATTATGCCAAGATAAGGATTTCCACAGCAATCCTTGGGGATGCTGGAATTATTTAATGCAGGCATAGAGAAATAAAAAAATTAAATTACTGCATTATTCTGAGTAGAACCTTGAATTATTTCATGGGCTGTGTATGACAGTTTTAAATGCTACTTCAATAATGCCTTTCCCATTGTTTGTGCTTAATACACTATTCTGGGAAATGTGTACTTTATTGTGAAAAATCCTACTGTTAGACAGTAGCATGCTGTGTCTGCATTCATCAGCCTTTTGGGTTTCATTTCCGTACCTAAGGAAAAAAGCTAACTATTGGAATTTCCCCCAAAATATGAGTGACGGAGAGGATTGCCATTTGACTATTTGTTTCTAAAGTATTTATGTGAAATCAAGTAAAAGGAGTTTTGATTTCATACTTTTACATTGCATACCTTGTTTTTGTTTATTGTAAATTAATTTTAATTATTTCTATGTTTAAGGTTGGGTCTAATTAATACTCAAACAACAAGATTTTCCTGCAAAATATCTAGTCAAATATTTATTCTGTAGGAAATATTTGGTAGATTATTAATTTTCTTCTCAATAAGTCTTTTGTTTGTTTGTTGTTTGTTTATTTGGGGTTTTTTGAGATAGTTTTGTTCTTGTTGCCCAGGCTGGAGTACAGTGGTACAATCTTGGTGCCCTGTAACCTCTGTCTCCTGGATTCAAGCAATTCTCCTGCCTCGGCCTCCCAAGTAGCTGGAATTACAGGTGTGTGCCACAATGCCCGGCTCATTTTATATTTTTAGTAGAGATGGGGCTTCACCATGTTGGCCAGGCTGGACTTGAACTCCTGACCTCAAGTGATCCACCTGCCTCGACCTCCCAAAGTGCTGGGATTATAGGCGTGAGCCACCACACCAGCTATTTTAATATAGAAATAGTCTGAATTGATTTCTATTACAAAGTAATCCTAGGTATTTTAAACATATAAATAGCCATAGACCGGGCACGGTGGCTTACACATGTAATCCCAGCACTTTGACCAAAGCTGGTGGATCATTTGAGCTCAGGAGTTCAAGACCAGTCTGGGCAATAAAGTGAGACCCCATCTCTACAAAAAATACAAAAGGTAGTCAGGTGTGATGGTGTGTTTGTGGTCCCAGCTACTTGGGAGGCTGAGATGGGAGGATCACTGGAGCCCAAGGGACAGAGGTTGCGTAAGCCGAGATCATGCCACCGCACTCCAGCCTGGGCCACAGAGACCCCATCTCAAAAATAAATAAATAAATAAAAGCCATAAACGACGACAACAAAAAAGGAGTCCTGTTATTTTGAAATATAATGACTGCACAGCCTGTTTCAGTAATCTGTGTCTCCTTTTTTGTTTCTAACAATAACCTCTTGAACCATCTGCTGGAGGTTTTGATCATAGCTATTGATTGCTGAAATGGGACCCCAGTGCAGGCTTCATTCCTAAATGGACTTACTAGGGTGTACAGTTGGTGGTGACACTACCTGGGGAGGCTGACGCTTGGTTAGTGCTGGACTTCGCTCAGGCCCATTAGCAATCCACAGGCAGCCTTGTGCATCTGCTCTCCTTGTTAACACCGACCCACTCAACAACCTTCACTGCTGTTATTAATCAGCCATGCTGGCTTTTGAAACTCATGTTCAACCAGTTTGTCAGTAGTTGGAACTATTGCAATCTCAGGGCATCCACTGATACCAGTGGCTTCCCCATCTGCCTGTGGGCCTGTCACCTAAAAGGCATAACACTGTTATGTGGAAGGTAGCCTGCCTGACAGGGCATGGGACATGTTTCACAAGGACTTACTGCTGGGGAAGATGAGTTCTACAGCAGTATCTTTTGAAGCTTCTATGATGAAGAACCTGTTATTTGTTGTTGTTGTTATTGTTGTTGTTTTTGAGAGGGAGTCTCGCACTGTCACCCAGGCTGTAGTGCAGCGGCACAATCTCAGCTCACTGCAATCTCTGCCCCCCAGGTTCAAGCAATTCTCCTGCCTCAGCCTCCTGAGTAGCTGGGACTACAGGCATGCACCACCATGCCCAGCTAATTTTTGTGTGTGTTTTTTTTAGTAGAGATGGGGTTTCACCATGGTGGCCAGTATGGTCTCAATCTCCTGACCTCATGATCCACCCGCCTCAGCGTCCCAAAGTACTGGGATTACAGGCGTGAGCCACCACACCCAGCCTTTGTTGTTTTTAAACCTATCATGGACCAATACCCTAAAGATGAATGGCTAGAAACATGAAATTTAAAAACATACAAAGAGCAAGCCACTATTTTTTATTAGAGCCGATAGACATAAAATCCCTCTGTCCAATTGCTATAAAAGTTTCCTATGCTTAATCTCAACTTCTACACTCATTTGATTGCAGACAATCAATGAATTACAGGTTTTGGATTGGCCTCAGTTCGTAGATGACACTTTGAGCAGTACCATCCTAAAGCAAACCAGAATCAGGTATAGGTCCAGTTGAGAATAATTACCCAGAGACTGGAGTGCCTTTGAAAGAGGAAGCAGGCATACACCGTTTATTTTATGCACAGCTGTGAAAAAGATGTATATATTTGATTAGACTGTTCTTCCTAACCATCTCCAAAAATACTTTTTTATATATGTCCCACAGACAGGAACAGCATAGCCTTCCCAAATGCTCATCACTGGGAAATGCAACCGCAAACATGACTTTTCTCTTTAAAACAGGGCACAGTGGGATTTGAAAACCAGATCAACAAATGCCTGGAACTGGCTGAATACCTCTACGCCAAGATTAAAAACAGAGAAGAATTTGAGATGGTTTTCGATGGCGAGGTAGGTAATCACCATGGACCAGGTACCTAGTATTTCCAGAAAAACTGTTGAGGGAAACTCCTGAAGCCGGATTTTCCCATATTGTCAGAAACTGCTTCAAAATTTTTATTCTTATGCACCCTTAATTCCTCTCTTTAATTGCTTCCATGTCTGTGAACTTTTCTCCTGGTAGCACAGGGATGATGTTTTTCTTGATGTCTTTTAAAACCATGTTGCTCTTGGCCAGCTTTTGGCAGTCGAGAGAGGTCTTTCCTTGACAGGTCTGAATCCTTCTTCATTCTTGAGTTTGTTTTGTGTTGAACCTTTATGATAAAGTGTTTTTCAGGCTGGGCATGGTGGCTCATACCTGTAATCCCAGCACCTTGGGAGGCCAAGGCAGGAGGAGTTCAAGACCAGCCTGGGCAACATAGCAAAGCCCTGTCTCTATAAGAAAAAAATATATATAATTTATAAAAACAAAATTTTTTAAATGATAAAGTGTTTTTTATTTCCAAGAAGCTTATAGGATGAGTATATTCTTACCTCCCAAGACTTGTTCTAACATAAGCTTCTACTTAACATAGATTCATAATGAGGAGAGCAAGATAAAATTGTCTCTGCCCTGAGTTCATGTACATACTGCACACAGTAAAGTATTTGTCACTGTTCACTGAGTACTCACTGTGTGCCAGGCCTCCTACTAGGACCTGGATTCTAGAGTAGTGAACAAAACAGATTCTTTCTCTGACCCAATAGCGCTCACAGTTGAATAAAGAAAGATAGAATAGCAGCCAGTGTTGAATAAAAGAATACCCACTTGTAAGCCAGTGTAACATAACACTGCCTACAGTCCACATTATTCTATTTATCAGGCAACCTAAACTACTAGGAACACACGTGAATCACCAAATGAACAAAAAGGAGCCCCGGGCAGTTTAAAATCAATGACACCACTCTGATCATTTGCACACTACTTTAAACACTCTTAATAGCAGATTAAAAACAACAAATGTGATGTCTCAAACCAATTAGAGGCAGGCACAGTAATGGCAAACAGCAACCAGGGAGAAAACTTTAAAACTATAGCAAGAATACACAGAACTCGAAAGGCACAGGAATCTTTAGAGGAGGGACACTAAATAGTCTGAGGCATCTCAGTAGGCCTTGCCTTATGCTGTAGAACCAGTCTTAATGTTTATTATGATAGTCCTGAGTCATCCAGAAAAGATTCAATATCAATATAATAAACTCAATAAAATATTTAGCATCAATAAACTATGTTTCAAGTATCTTCTATATGTGGGCCATTTCTACAAAACGACAAGATGAACAGATGGATACCTTCTTTTAAAAATTGCCCAAACGCGATTATTTGTAACATTTCAATGTTTAAAGTTAGTAACTTTAGTTACCTAGAAAATTGGTTGTAGGGAACAGCTCTCTTGCCAGATATGATTGGATAAATGAACCATTGTTCTCTCTGGTGTGGAAGTAACATTGCCTTTGAGATGAACATTCAACCTCTTTCTTTGGTCTAAGAAGATGTATCTTCCACTGAGGATGTATATGGATTTGGGAACAGCTTTCTTTCAAGTTATCATAATTTTCTTTGTTTGCTTGTCTGTTAAAATCTCTGCAGCCTGAGCACACAAACGTCTGTTTTTGGTATATTCCACAAAGCCTCCGGGGTGTGCCAGATAGCCCTGAACGACGGGAAAAGCTACACAAGGTATGGACTCGCTTTTTGTCTCATCTAATTGTCTGCAGTTTCTCTGGCTGGTCAGGACATCCTCATTCCAATGTGCCTTTTTAGTGGGGGAAATACAAAAAAAATAAAGCCATGGGGTAGGTTTCTAGTGATGGGGTGGTGGGGAGCTATCTTGTTATGTTCTTCATAAGCCTGCATTGCCCCCTTACTGTGGCATTTTACTGTCAGTAAGACAAGGATGCATCTTGTCTCCTTGTCCTTGGTTGATGTTCTTCATTGAAGGAGCCCTATGCAGGGTAATAGAATAATGTATATATTCCTAGGGACATTCTAGATTAATGTATATATTCCTAGGGACTTCTAGATTAAACTGTGTTTGTTACAATAACCTTTAAATTCAAGCCCACTGTTACGCTGATTCATTCTAGTTGTTGATTTGTATACCCAGTTTATATCTTATCCAGGGTTCTTAAGATTATATTTAATTTATATAACATTTCATTCATCCAACCATTAAACAAATATTTGTTAAACACAGTCTATGTGCCAGGCAGTATCCTGGGCTCTGGGTTATACAAAACCCTTAATTTGTGCTGTAGTCTATAAGAGTTTTTTGCTTTCATCTTCATTTTTTATTTCACTATCAGTGTTCCATCACTGGCTTTCAAAATTCAGTTGCACAGTACTTTCTGAGGGAACTCATGACCAGGTAGTCATTTGATATTAGTCCCTGAAGATTCCTAGATATGAAATATTTCTGTGCTTTTATGTCGGTGTAAACACAATTGCAAAATGCAAGTTGGGTTGAATTGTTAAAAAGAGAGGGGGTTGGGCCAGGCATGGTGGCTCACACCTGTAAGAGTTTGAGACCAGTCTGGCCAACATAGTAAAACCCCATCTCTATTAAAAATACAAAAAATTAGCTGGGTGTGGTGGTATGCGCCTGTAATCCCAGCTACTAGGGAGGCTGAGGCAGGAGAATTTCATGGACCCTGCAGGCGGAGGTTGCAGCAAGCCAAGTTTGTGCCATTGCACTGCAGCCCAGGCAACAGTATGAGACTCTGCCTCAAAAAAAAAAAAAAAAAAAAAAAAAGAGAGAGAGAAGAGAGGGGGTTAATATCAATCTTGAGGTGTTTTTTTTTTTGTGTTTTCCGTCACAAGGTGGCTCCAAAAATCAAAGCCCTGATGATGGAGTCAGGCACGACCATGGTTGGCTACCAGCCCCAGGGGGACAAGGCCAACTTCTTCCGGATGGTCATCTCCAATCCAGCCGCTACCCAGTCTGACATTGACTTCCTCATTGAGGAGATAGAAAGACTGGGCCAGGATCTGTAGTCACCCTTCTCAGAACATGAGTTGAGGGGAATGCCTTTTCCCTCTGGCTCTCCAGAACAAACCTCTATACGTTGCTGAAACACATAGGCCATTTCATTGAAGGAAAACATAATATCTTGACGAATACTCTTAAAACCTTACTTAAAGCTTCTTTGTCATAGTTAGTAGGAAATAGTGTTCTTTTTAAAAAGTTGCACATTAGGAACAGAGTATATTTGTACAGTTATACATACCTCTCTATATATATACATGTATAGTGAGTGTGGTTTAGTAATAGATCACAGCATGTTTCCCGCTCCACGAGAAGTCACTTTACCTTCAGCAGTTACCGAGGAGCTAAATGTGCTGCCAACCAGCTTGTCCAACAACTACAGGAAAGCTGTTTTTCAAAATGCCATGTCCTAGAGGCCAAGGGAAATGCTTTTGGTGAGAATCGACCTCACTGTCAGCATTTCTCCACCTGAAGTGTTGATGGATGAGAAAAAACACCACCAGATGACAAGTTACACCCTCCCCCATTAGTATCCTGTTAGGGGAAAATAGTAGCAGAGTCATTGTTACAGGTATACCATGGCTGTATTTTTAGAGATTAATTCGTGTAGATTGTGTGTGTTACCGTTGTCTGACCTTGATGGTGGGAGGGGGAGACTATGTGTCATGATTTCAATGATTGTTTAATTGTAGGTCAATGAAATATTTGCTTATTTATATTCAGAGATTTACCATGTTAAAGAGACGTCTTGTATTTTCTTCCCATTTGTAATGTATCTTATTTATATATTAATGATGTAAGTTCTGAAAACTGTTTATGGTATTTTCGTGCATTTGTGAGCCAAAGAAAAAGATTAAAATTAGTGAGACTTGTATTTATATTAGAGTGCCCTTAAAATAATGATTTAAGCATTTTACTGTCTGTAAAAGAATTCTAAGATTGTACATAGAGTCATATATATGGAAATCCTGTTACTAAAATAGCATCTGCTCTTCTCTTACCCTCTCTGTCTGGCTGTACGTCTGGTGTTCTCAATGCTTTCCTAGTAACTGTTGAATAATAACTAGATCTCCTGTAATTTTGTAGTAGTTCATGACCAATCCCTGTGACTCGCTTAGCTAAGGCAACATTTCCGAAGACCTTCCGAAGATCTCAGATAAAGTGACTAGGCTCACAACTGTTTCTGAAGAAGAGAAATTCACACTGTGCGTTTTAGAGTATGCAAGAAGAACATAAATAAATAAAAATATTCTCCATGGAGAATTTGAACCAAATTTTCTCTGGTTTGTGTTTCATACAGAAATGTTTGTAGTTATAGTTACTGGAGTTGCCCATAGCCCATTCACTTTCTACTGGCTGACTTTAGTGATGCTGTCAGTACCCTGATTAATCTGAAGAAGACTTGATCTGCCGTCACAGGCTCTGAAGCTCCTCATCTATAAAATCATCATGGGCTGGGCATGGTGGTGCATGCCTGTAATCCTAGTTTTTTGGGAGGCCAAGTCAGACAGATCACTTGAGCTCAGGAGTTTCAGACCACCCTGGCTAACATGGCAAAACCCTTTCTCTACAAAAAATTAGCCAAGTGTGGTAATGCACACCTGTGGTCCCAGCTACTTGGGAACCTGAGGTGTGAGGATCACTTGAGACCAGGAGATCGAGGCTGCTGTGAGCTGAAATTGCACCACTGTACTCCAGCCTGGTTGACAGAGTGAGACCCTGTCTCAATCTCAATCAATCAATAAATCAAATCATTATGATTATAATTAAATAAAATGTTCAGTTCAAGCCTTAAGAAGGAAGCCATCCCTGTTTCTCCTTTTCCTACTTGCATCTTGGAGTGACATTCATTCAGTCATTCAACAAACATTTCCTTCCTCTATATCAGGCACTGTTACAGGCACTGAGGTTACAGTGGTGTGCATGGCAGACAAATATTCCTTCTAGTGGGCATCTTACATCTCTTGGTGTCTGTGGTAATTGAATGCCTCTAAGACCACAGAAGCATACCTTCCTGCTGCTTTATGCTTGTAGAGTGGTCCCAATTCACTTCCTAGGGAAATATATTTTGGTGCTGAATCATTAGGATATGGGACCCATTTTCTACAATGTTCTATTCAATTATATTAATACAATCTCATTCATTTGGAATACAAGAAGCTCCCTATTTAGCACAGGTAGGGATTAGAGATGAATCCTTTGTAATTAGCACACTGATTGCATGTAACCATTGTATTAAACAAATGACTCCATAGGGAGTGATCATAAAGCCACTTATTTTTCCTCCACTATTTCTTTAAAACACCTCTGTAGGCTGATTTTTTCAATACCTCTATTTGAATTTAGGCCAATCTCATAGCTTTTCTGGCCTCTCAGGTGCATGAACAGTCTCATTTTTGCAACTGAAGGTCCAGCTTGATGTAATAAGCAAAGCTTCAAATTTTATATGATACAGAGTTGCTTCCCACATCCCCACGTCTGGCATCACTTCAGCTGCAAGCCTACAGTGGCAGGGAGAATAAGGCTGATTGTTGGTGAGGTCACCTTTTTTCTTCGTCTTTCAGCTCATCTGCCTAGCTCCTGTGCTTCCCCATTCAGGGTCAGGCCTAGGGGGAGAAAGGGTTAAAGTGAGTAAGGTAAAATTGTACATGGCTGTTAAATTATCTTTGGGCATCAGAGTCCCTGGAACATGAGTTTTGTTTTTTGAGTTTTTTTGAGAAATTTTCTGAATAAATGAGGATTTTTTTTAAATTAAGGTAAAATTTAGATATAATAAAATTCTTTGTAGTGTACTGTGTACAGTTTTCTGTGGATTTTGAAAAGTCCATTCAGTCATGTATTAATAACTATCACCATGATCAAGGTCTTGAACAGTTCTGTCACCCCAATGAATTTCCCATCCCCCTTTGTACTGAACACCTCTCCTAACCCCCAGCCCTTGGCAACTTCTGCTTTATTTTCTGTCCCTAGAATTTTGCCTTTCCCACCATGTAAATGGAATCATGTAATATGTAGTCTTTTTTAGTCTAGTTTCTTTCACTGAACGTAGTGCACTTGGAATTCATCCATGTTGTCTCTATATCAGTGTTCATTCCTTTTCACTACTGCATACTATTCTGTTTGCATAGATGTACCACACTCTGTTTATTCCTCCCTTAGTAGAGGAAAATTTCCATTTTTTTCCAGTTTTTTGGCAATTAGAATAAAGCTACTGGAAAAATTCGCGTGCAGATTTTTGAGTGAGCATAGATTTCATTTAACTTGGGTAAATACCTATGTGTAGGATAGCTAGATCATATTAATAGTATGTTTAATTTTATTAGAAACTGCTAAACTATTTTCCGAATTGGCTGTGCCATTTTGCATGCTCACCAGCAATGCACAAATATTCCAGTTGCTCTGTATTTTTGCTGACACTTGGCACTGTCATTCCCCCCCTCCGCCATGTTGGCCACTCTAAGAGTATACCTTGTGCTTTTAATTTGCTTTTTCATGAAGCACTTTTGAAGGATCCCTCTGGGGTCCTCCCACCTCATGGCACAGGAGGCAGTGAAGGCTTCTCCTCCTTCAACCTCTTAGGATTCAGCCCCTCAACCCTGAGTCCCTGGCAGTCTACAGTGTTCAGATCTCACATTGGGATCCTTTCTTCTCCAAGTAGTACATGTGGCCAGGACCCCTTTTATTTAAAATCAGTTACTGGCCAGGCACAGTGGCTCATGTCTGTGATCTTAACACTTTGGAAGGCCAAGGCAGAAGGATTGCTTGAGCCTAGGAGTTCAAGACCAGCCTGGGCAACACTGGGAGATCCCATCTCTACACAAAATAAAAAAATTAGCTGGGAGTGGTGGTGAGCCCCTGTGGTCCCAGCTACTCAGAAAGCTGAGGTGGGACGATCACTCGAGCCCAAGAGGTCAAGGCTGCAGTGAGCCATGATCATCCCACTCAATTCCAGCCTGAGTGGCAGAGTGAGACCCCATCTCAAAAAAACAGAAACGAAATCCTCCTTAGATAATCTACAATAACTGATTTTTTTTTTTTTTTGAGACAGGGCCCCACTTTGTTACCCAGGCTGGAATATTGTGGCATGATCACAGCTCACTGCAGCCTCGAACACCTGGGCTCAAGCAATCCTCCCACCTCAGCCTCCCAAGTAAATGGGACTGCAGTTGCGTGCCACCATGCTCAGCTAATTTTTTATTATTTTGTGGAGAAGGAATCTTGTTATGTTGCCCAGGCTAGTCTCAAACTCCTGGACTCAAGTGATCCTTTCACCTTGGCATTCCAAAGTGCTGGAATTACAGGCATAAACCACTGTACCTACCAAGAAGGGCATTTTTAGACATACACATATAGGACAAAGGGTGATGGCATTATACTTGAGTACCCACTACTTAGCCTAAGATATAGAACATTATTATTATCATGACCTTAGCACTCTCCAACCCTGTCATGAACCCTCCCCTAATTGGATACTCCCCACTCCTTAACAAGCGATCACTATTCTGAATTTTGTGTTAATCACTCTCTTATTTTTCTGTAGTTTTACTACATACATATGCATCCTTACTGTTTAGTTTTACCTAATTTTGCACTTTCTGTAATGCAGAATTTGTATACTTCTGTGATGTGTCTTTCTAGTCAACATTATTATTTTGTTTGTCTAGAGCTAACCTGTAGGGAGACTTTGTGCAGTTTAAAATAAAAAAGATACCCCTTCCTTGGTGGCCAAGCGTCCCTGTGCCAGTGGAGCTGGAATAGACTTCAGCCCCTATTCAACCCATTGGCACACCCTGCAAACACAGTCTCATGTGGAAGCCTCATGGTTTTGAGAGTCACCTCTGACAATGGTTCCAGCTGTAATTCATTCATTTTTATGGCTGCAACGCTATTACAGCGTACGAATATACTTCAGAAGATTTATCCATTCTTTTGAGGGTGAATATATGAATTTTTCCAGTTTTGCCTTTAGAGATAACATTGCCGTTAGCATTCTAGTACTTGTTTTCTGGGGCACACGTGCAAACGTTTTTTCTAAGGTTTATATGTAGAAGTGAAATTGCTGGGTCACAAGGTATTTATTGAACTTTACTGAGTAGAGTGGTCATACCAAGTTGCACTTCAAGCAGCCATGCGCATTGTTCCATAACTTCACCATCAGTTGCCTAAGATTTTTGCCAGTCTGGCGAGTATGAAGTAGCATCCAATTGTAAATTTAATTAGTCTCTCCCTGATTACAAATGAGGTTAATCTTTTCACATTATTATGAACTATTTGTGCTCTGTCATCTATGAAATGCCTAAATTATGCCTTTTGTCAAATTTTCAATTGAGGTATTTGATCCTTTAGGTATTCTTTATATATTCCAAATCCTCATTCTTTTAAATTATATTTGGAAAATTTCTTCTTCTAATTCAGGGCTACCCTTTTTACTTGGTTAATGGTCTTTTCTGAAAACATAAGTTATTAAATTTAATGTGGTAAATTTATCAATTATTTTCATTGTTTCTGCTTTTCTTGTATGTCTTCTTTAAGAAATTCTTCCCTATCCCAGAGTCACAAAGACATTCACATGTATTTACTTTTAAGTTTTAAGGTTGTATGCCTTTCACATTTAAGTCTTTAATCCACCTTGAATTAATTTTTGTGTTTGGTTCTTTTTTGAGACTGAGAGCGCTATTATTAGCCCTTTAATCTTCCATATAAATTTAGAATCAATTCATCAAGTTTCTAAAAAATTCCTGTTGAAATTTTTATTGAAATTTAATCAAATCTGTGGATCAACTGAGGAACACTAACATCTTTTTAATATTGAATACAGTAGCCATAAGCATAATATATATCTCCACTTCACTAGGTCATCTTTAATATGGTGAATTTATCAATTTTCTCTTGTAGTTTAATAAGTGTTGCTTTACTATTAGGTATGAGCAAGTTTATCATTTTCATATTTTTCTGGTGATTTAAAACTTTTATCACTATGTAGTGGCCAGTGTGGATGTGAGGTTTTTTGTTTTTTGTTTTTTGTTTTGCCTTTTTCTCTAATAGTCTATTTTGTCTGATATTAATATGGCTATACCACATTTCTTTTTTTCTTATTTCTTTTTTGTTTTTTGTTTTTTGAGATGGAGTTTCGCTCTTGTTACCCAGGCTGGAGTGCAATGGCGCGATCTCGGCTCACTGCAACCTCTGCCTCCTGGGTTCAAGCAATTCTCCTGCCTCAGCTTCCCGAGTAGCTTGGACTACAGGTGTGCACCACCATGCCCAGCTAAGTTTTGTATTTTTAGTAGAGACGGGGTTTCACCTTGTTGACCAGGATGGTCTCGATCTCTTGACCTCGTGATCCACCTGCCTCGGCCTCCCAAAGTGCTGGGATTATAGGCGTGAGCCACTGCTCCCAGCCCCACATTTCTTTAATCTCTGCTTAATATACATTTATTTCTCTTTGAATTATAATATTTCTGTATCCTTATGATTTAGGTTTGTGTTGTATAAATGGCCTAGAGCTAGATTTTATCTTTTTCTTTTCTTTTTTTTTTTGAGGCAGGGTCTCACTCTGTCATGCGCTAGAGTGCAATGCCATGCTCACGGCTCACTGCAGCCTCAACATCCTGGGCTCAAGTGATCCTCCTGCCTCAGCCTTCTGAGTATCTGGGATCACAAGCATGTACCACCACACCCAGCTAATTTTTGTATTGTTTCTGGAGACAGGGTCTCAAACTCCCGAACTCAAGCAATCCACCCGCCTCAGCCTCCCAAAGTGCTGGGATTACAGGCATGAGCCACCATGCCTGGCCCTTTTTCTGACTCAATTTGTCTTTTAACTGAAGGATGTCACTCACTTCATTTATTGTGTTTACTGATATATTTGAATTTAATTCTACCATCTTATTTTGTACAGGTTTTCCACTTTTTCTGTTCTTTTTTCTCTGCTTGTCAAAAAATTTGGATTTGATGAGGTTTTCTGTTCTTTTGTTTTTCTGTTTCTCCCCCTCTGCTTGTAAGTTATACTATGTCTGTTTTTCATTGGTTACCCTAGATACAATAGCATAAATATTTTACCATTTCAAAAGTTAATAATTTTATTCCCCTCGTGAGTCATCTGAGAACCCGAGAATACTTTTACTCTGATCCTCTCCTTCCCAATATGTATGCCAATGCTACCCAGTATTTTAAGTCTCTCTTCTTTTAACCCCACAATTTGTACATTATTAATAATTTTGTTCAGTTGAATTTTGCTTGATGTGCCCGCATATTTACCACTGTGTTTGTGCATGATTCCCTCTTACATCTCAGACCTTTCATTTGGGTCATTTTCTTTTTTCCTGATTTGCATGCGTTTGAACTTTTCCCATTGAAGCCTATTAATAGCCCCTCTCTAGAAGGGGCTCTCTAACTGTCTGCTTCGTGGGCAACATTTCTGAGACTGGTTTGAAAGCACAATGATCGAGGTCATTTGCTGCGTTGAGGATGGGAACAGTAACACTTAGATAAAACAGACTTTGTTAAACAGGAAATGTTCCAGTCACACCACAGGGCTCTGCCTCTAGGCATTACGAGGCCTCTGTTGTCTCTTACACATAAAGGATACCAGAGACATGCATCAAAATGTACCTGCCAGAATCTTCAATCCTTTAATCTGAGCAAACGATAAAAAGCAAATTAATAGGCCCAGTCCCCTCGCCGAGTCCTTCTGCTAACGCCACGATGATGTGCGGGGCGCCCTCCGCCGCGCAGCCGGCCACCGCCGAGACCCAGAACATCGCCGACCAGGTGAAGTCCCAGCTTGAAGAAAAAGAAAACAAGAAGTTCCCCGTGTTCGAGGCTGTGTCCTTCAGGAGCCAGGTGGTTGCGGGGACGAACTACTTCATCAAGGTGCATGTCGGTGACGAGGAATTTGTCCACTTGCGAGTATTCCAAAGTCTCCCTCACGAAAACAAGCCCTTGACCTTGTCTAACTACCAGACCAACAAAGCCAAGCACGATGAGCTGTCCTATTTCTGACCCTGACTTTGGGCAGGTCCTTCCACCAGAAGGCTGGTGATTAGCGATTCTGCGTGGACCAGAGCGTGCACCTGGGATCATAAAATGAGCATCTCCTGGCTGCGCCCCTCGCGGGGAAGGGGCCGGATGCAGCAGCTGCTCTTGCATTTCTGTTCCTAAATTTCATTGTGTTGATTTTTTCCCCCTTCCAATCAGGTATCTTAATTACTTTCAAAATATTTTCAAAAAATAAAATACATATTTTAAAAATCAAAAAAAAAAGCAAATTAATAAAGAAATCTCACTATATTTTGGGCTGAAGAGTAGAATTCTTTATAATAAACGTGGTATCCAGGGTTGCTTTAATATTCCAATAAAACCACTGCAAAATTCTTATTCCTGGTTCCCTCATTCTCTATAATGACATTTGTGGGGTTTTTGTTGTTGTTGTTGTCTGTTTTTAACCTTTTTTTTTTAAATCTTTTCTTCCTCTTTTTTTTTAAAAAAATATATTTTATTACACTTTAGATTCCAGGTACATGTGCAGAACATGCAGGATTGTTGCATAGGTATATACATGGCAATATGGTTTGCTGCCTCCATCCCCATCACCTGTATCTAGCATTTCTCCCCATGTTATCCCTCCCCAACTCCCTACCCCCTGCTGTCCCTCCCCTAGTCCTCTCCAACAGACCCCAGTCTGTTGTGATGCTCCCCTCCCTGTGTCCATGTCACCTGCCTGTGAGTGAGAACATGCAGTGTTTAATGTTCTTTTCTTGTGACAGTTTGCTGAGAATGATGGTTTCCAGATTCATCCATGTCCCTACAAAGGACACGAACTCATTGTTTTTTATTGCTGCATAGTATTCCATGGTGTATATGTGCCATATTTTCCTTTTCCAGTCTATCAATGATGGGTATTTGGGTTGGTTCCAGGTCTTTGCTATTGTAAACAGTGCTGCAATGAACATACATGTGCATGTGTCTTTATAACAGAATGATTTATAATCCTTTGGATATATACCCAGTAATGGGATTGCTGGGTCAAATGGAATTTCTATTTCTAGGTCCTTGAGGAATCACACTGTCTTCCACAATGGTTGAACTAATTTACACTCCCAACAGTGTAAAAGTGTTCCTATTTCTCCACATCTTCTCAGCATCTGTTGTCTCCAGATCTTTTAATGATCGCCATTCTAATTGGTGTGAGATGGTATCTCAATGTGGTTTTGATTTGCATTTCCCTAATGACCGGTGAGGATGAGCATTTTTTCATATGTTTGTTGGCCTCATATATGTCTTCTTTTGAAAAGTATCTGTTCATATCCTCTGCCAGCTTTTGAATGGGTTTTTTTTTTTTTCTTGTAAATCTGTTTTAGTTCTTTGTAGATTCTAGATATTAGCCCTTTGTCAGATAGGTAGATTGCAAAAATTTTTTTCCCATTCTGTTGGTTGCCAGTTCACTCTAATGATTGTTTATTTTGCTGTGCAGAAGCTCTGGAGTTTAATTAGATCCCATTTGTCTATTTTGGCTTTTGTTGCCAATGCTTTTGGTGGTTTAGTCATGAAGTCCTTGCCTATGCCTATGTCCTGAATAGTTTTGCCTAGATTTTTTTCTATGGTTTTTATGGTGTTAGGTCTTATGTTTAAGTCTTTAATCCATCTGGAGTTTATTTTAGTGTAAGGTGTCAGGAAGGGGTCCAGTTTTTGCTTTCTGCACTTGGCTAGCCAGTTCTCCCAACACCATTTATTAAACAGGGAATCATTCCCCATTGCTTGTTTTTGTCAGACTTGTCAAAGATCAGATGGTTGTAGATGTGTGGCGTTGCCTCCAAGGCCTCTGTTCTGTTCCATTGATCTATATCTCTGTTTTGGTACCAGTACCATGCTGTTTTGATTACTGTAGTCTTGTAGTATAGTTTGAAGTCCAGTAGTGTGATACCTCCAGCTTTGTTCTTTTTGCTTAGAACTGACTTGGCTATGTGGGCTCTCTTTTTGTTCCATATGAAGTTTAAGGTGTTTTTTTCCAGTTCTGTGAAGAAAGGCATAGGTAGCTTGATGGGGATATCACTGAATCTGTAAATTACTTTGGGCAGTATGGCCATTTCCACAATTTCTATTCTTCCTAACCATAAGCATGGAATGATTTTCCATCTGTTTGTGTCCTCTCTTATTTCCTTGAGCAGTGGTTTGTAGTTCTCCTTGAAGAGGTCCTTTACATTCCTTGTAGTTGTATTCCTAGGTATTTTATTCTCTTTGTAGCAATTGTGTATGGCAGTTCATTCTTGATTTGGCTCTCAGTCTCTTATTGGTGTGTAGAAATTCTTGTGATTTCTGCACATTGATTTTGTATCCTGAGACTTTGCTGAAGTTGCTTATCATTTTCAGGAGATTGTGGGCTGAGACCATGGGGTCTTCTAGCTATACAATCATGTCATCTGCAAATAGAGACAATTTGACTTCCTCTTTTCCTAATTGAATACCCTTTATTTCTTTTTCTTGCCTGATTGCTCTGGCTGGAACTTCCAATAGTATATTGAATAGGAGTGCTGAGACAGGGCATCCTTGTCTAGTGCCAGATTTCAAAGGGAATGCTTCCAGTTTTTGACCATTCAGTATGATATTGGCTATGGGTTTGTCATAAATAGCTTTTATTATTTTGAGATACGTTCTGTCAATACCTAGTTTATTGAGAGCTCTTAGCATAAAGGGCTGTTGAATTTTGTTAAAGGTCTTCTCTGCATCTATTAAGATAATCATGTGGTTTTTGTCTTTGATTCTGTTTATGTGGTGGATTACATTTTAGACTTGCGTATGTTGAACCAGCCTTGCATCTTCGGGATGCAGCCTACTTGTGATGGATAAGCTTCTTGATGTGCTGTTGCAATTGGCTTGCCAGTATTTTATTGAATATTTTTGCATCTGTGTTCATCATGGATATTGGCCTGAAGTTTTCTTTTCTTGTTGAGTCTCATTTTATGATTTGGGAAGGATTCCCTCTTTTTGGATTGTGTGGAATAGTTTCAGAAGGAGTGATACCAGCTCCTCTTTGTATGTCTGGTAGAATACAGCTGTGAACCCATCTAGAGCTGGGCTTTTTTTGGTGGGTAGGCTATTAATTGCTGCCTCAACTTCAGCCTTTGTTATTGGTCTATTCAGGGTTTCAACTTCTTAAAAGTTTACAGAACCCCTATGTTTTCATCTTTTGTTTCTAACAACAAAGATTATAATGACAGAACTGAATGATCAGAATGTAAAAATATTTGTGCAAAACTGCATTAATTGTTCTTACCATCTAAAATAGGGGTAAAACTTTAGAACACACAATTACAATAATGAAGAAAAACTACATTAAAAGTAATTCTACTTTAGATTTCAAACAACATGGATTATACTATTGCTAAACATTAAAAAAAAGAAACATGGCACCATGAGAGCAGCAGGAACAACAAATGATTTGGTGATTATGCCAGCTAAGGAAAGCTGATACTGGAATATGCCAAAGTTAATCTCCACAACGGGCATCCATCTGAAAAGACTGGAAACAACTGGAGGGCTTACCAACTCACTTCAATGTCTTTATTCTTTTTTTTGTTTCTTGAGACGGAGTTTCGCTCTTGTTACCCAGGCTGGAGTGCAATGGCGCCATCTCGGCTCACCACAACCTCCGCCTCCTGGGTTCAAGCAATTCTCCTGCCTCAGCCTCCCAAGTAGCTGGGACTACTCGGGAGCACACCACCATGCCCAGCTAATTTTTGTATTTTTAGTAGAGACGGGGTTTCACCATGTTGACCAGGATGGTCTCGATCTCTTGACCTTGTGATCCACCACGCCTCGGCCTCCCAAAGTGCTGGGATTATAGGTGTGAGCCACCGTGCCCGGCCCAATGTCTTTATTCTTAAATTTGCAGGTGATAAATGAAATATTTAAGAAAGTCTTTTCCCCTCCCTCTGAAGGAGTGTTTCTTGTGTTACTGGCAATCATTAAAAGAGCTGAATCATAGACTCTCTGGATTCGCCAACACCAATCCATTTAACTGGAATTTGAAGCTCATCTTTAATAAATCAAACATAGTTTTGTGCATTAACAGGTAGTTCTTTAAACATCCTTGCATTTGATATGTCTGTGTTCCATCCTGGGAGAGTCTTATACTGAACTTCAACTTTATTTAAGACTTCTTGGTTTGCTGGGATATGAGGTATGATTTCACCATCTAACTTGCAAGCAACTCCAACTTTGATTTCCGTAAACATGTGTGAAATATCCAACTTGGTAAGTGCCAACACAGTAAATCCATTGATTATATAAGCATATTTGAGCAAAACGAGGTCCAACCAGCCACATCTTCATTTCTTTCCAGTAGTTACACCAAACTCTCTACCCCTTGTGTGTAATAATTTTCCAATTTCATTGTCTTGCTCTGTAGGAAAGGCACCAATACAAACTCTAGTAGTATAAGCTTTCACAACTCCATAAATTTCTCCTACATTTTGAGGGGGTATACCCAAACCAGTACAAACACCTCCAACAGTACAATTTGAAGAGATTACAAAAGGGTAAGTTCAAAAATCAATATCTATTAGTGCTGCATTTGAACCTTCTACCAAGAGTTTCTTTGGTGATCCCTGTAGGGCCTCATATAGGAAATAAACTTCATCTCTCACCATTGGCCTAATCCTTTCCATATAACCCTTGAGTTTTTGTAAATCACCTTTGATGTCTATTTCCAAAGTGGGGTATATAGATTTGTATTGGTTGGCTAAAACTTTAAACCTCTCCAAGAAGCCATCAAAGTCAGAAACAAGATCTGACATCCTAAGTCCACTCTGAGCAGCTTTGGAAGAATAAACTGGCCCAATTCCCCGTTTTTGTTGTACCCAAATTTTTTCCTGCTTGTGCTCGTCTCTGTTGTTCCTGGATACCATCAGCTGCTTGATGAAAATCAAATACAGTATGAGCTCTGTCAGATATAATCAGCCTTTTTTCCCCAGCCTTCTAGTCCTTTTCCTTTTTGAACATTTTTCTCTGCTTCTTCAAACAATCCAGGTAGATGAATTACCACACCATTTCCAATGAAGGCAGCCACACTTGGATTA